TTTTTTTTAAGTCAGTATGGTCTAACACTGGCACCTTCAAAGCCACATTGTTTCTAGTCCAAAATTGCAAGTAATCAAAGGTCTTTGGGTTAGGCGTTAATGTTTCTATCTGATTTTGTGCAGAAGCTTCAAATTTAGAATAGCTACATTAGAAAAAACAGGCACTCCCCCCCCCCACCCACCCCGGCACCTAAAGGTGTATTTAAACTGTGTTGTGTGATTAACTTATTTAGAGATGGTATAATTTAAAATAGGTGGTATTTAAGGTAGCATCAACCAGCTTTTAGGAAAATCACTTTGTCTAAACTCAGAGTTCTTTTTAAAAAGAAATCTGGTATTATTTGTTAGAAAACGAAAGTTTATATTGTGCTCAGTTAAGTTTCAAACTTATTTTTTTGACAGTTATCTTGATAACAAAGGCACTAGAAAGCTTTACCCCATTTCCTCATTAATTTTTGCATGAATATCATACAAATCAGTTAGCTTTTAGATCAAGGGCTTGCCATATTTCTGGGTCTTTTGCCAGCAAGTTCACATTAGAATTAGTGCCAGAATTTTAGGAACTTCAGAGATCGTGTATTGAGATTTCTCAAATAAGGCTTCAGATATTGCTTCATTGCTTTTTTATATTGGTTAAAACTGTACATTTGAAATTGCTATGTTACTATTTTTTACAATTAATAGTTTGTCTATTTTAAAATAAATTAGTTATTAAGAGTCTTAATGGTCTGATGTGGTCTTTGTATTAAGTGTACTAATGTGCCCTGCTGTGTCTACATTCTCTCCCAGTATCTCATCCCTTCTTAGTCTTTAATGGGCTTAATATGCTGATGATTCCCAAATGTATTTCTCCAGCCCTGACCTCTTCATGGAGGTCAAAGCTTTCATAGCCAATAAAACTCTTGCTTCTTACTCCTCCCCCTTCCCAGCTTCTCAAAATACAAACCAGAATCCAACAAACAAAAATACCTTGTTTCTACCCTAGTATTTCCCCATTTTATTAAACAGTTGCTTAAGCCAAAAACCTCGTCTATTAACTCTTGTCTGGACCACTGTTAAAGTCTTCTAACTGGTCTCCATGTTCCTTCTCTTTCCTCTTTACCTTTCAATTCCATAAAGAGCAAAAGTGATCCCTTTAAAATGTAACCTGATTCCCAGTGTGACTCTTCTTGCAGTATTTACACTCCTCATGGCCTGTTCATCAGCCCCTACCTACTTCTTCATCCTCATCTCGTGCTCCTTTCTCTTACTCACTACGCTTTAGCCACAGTGACCTGTTCTCTTATAGTACAAAGCCTATCCCTACCTTGGGCTTTTATATTTGCTGTTCCTTCTCTCAGTGCTCTTCCCCCAGAATTTTGCATGGCTGGTTCCTTCCTGTCTTTCAGGGCTTAGCTCAGAGGCCTTTCTTGACCACCTTACTAAAATCCTTACTCTGTACTGTGTCAGTCTCCTTCAGAAGTGTAACAGCATTTATCACCAGACAAAATTGCCTTATTTGACTTGTCTATTGCCTATCTACCCACCCCTGCATCAGCCTGACTGGTCTTCTTTACTACTATAGCTCTAAAACCCATGTATTTCCAAGTATGTGGAAACAGGTAATATTCTCTTCCTGTTTTAAAAAACGATGTACTGAGTACCTATGATATTCCAGGCAGAGTTCTAAATGTGAGCGATACATCAATGAATAAATAAAACTGAGATCCCCATCTCTGTGGAACTTACATTCTAATTCTAGTTTTGGGGAAAGAGAGCAAGCGAATAAATAAATGAATCTATAGTATGTCCAATTGTCTGAAGTACTGTGGAGAAAAACAGAGCAGGGAGGATAGGAATGCTGGCAGGGAGAGGAGTTGTCGAATTTAAAACAGGTGGTCAGGGAAAGAGTTCCTGAGGTGCTATTTGAGCAAAGCCCTGAAGGAGGTGAGGGGGTGAGCCAAACATCCACAGGGGCAAAACATCAGGAAAAGCCATGCTCGGAGGGGGGCTATGCCTGGTGTGTGTGAGGAACAATGAGCAGTCATAGTAAAATGGAGAGTTGTAAGAGGAGGACTGGGGAGCAAGTCTCTCTCTTCATCTAATACAAAGTTTATGTTAAAGGCCTTTCCTCTCAGTAGACTTTATATATATTATAAGTCCACAATCCTTTATCTGCTATTCTGAAATCCAAAAAGCTTTAAAAACCAAGTGGTTGTGTGTGTTTGGTGCCAAAGTCATATGGCATAGAGCTATTTAGAGCCTTTATCCCACTCAGTGGGAATATTCTGGATTCACTACAAAAATATTAATACATTGGTTTTGGGGCTCCAACCTAGCCCTGCTTGAGTATGATGTGTTATGTGGTATATGTACCATATTATCATACTAAACTCCAAAAAAGTGGAGGCACATCTGGTACTAAGGGTTTCAGATAAGGGATTCAGATAGGGGATTAAGTTGAAGTAATATGATTTCTCAAAACAGGGTGGACAGTGAAATTCTCTTCTTCTGGAACAGCAGCATGTCTGTTCCTGAAGGAAGAAAGGCAAATGAAGAGGTGAGAGCAGGAAAAGCAGCAGGCAGACCTCAGGGGACTGTGTTCATGTCGGATGAGGATCTTACATGAAATGTAGTCTCTTGGGTCAAGGCAAAATCAAGCAGCTTTTAAGACACTACAGTTTTTTAGTTTGGATGGTAGAAAACTGTTCACTTCTGGAGATTAATTTAGTATTCCAGTACTTAATGTTCTTTATAATAAAAGGGACAAGTTCAAATTCATATTTTTATTTCTTTTTCATTACAGCTTGCTGGTGCAAATGGTGGTTCGGAGGGGGTGGGCAGGGACCTACATACTAGTTCTATTACCATCTGGATGATTTCATAGAAACTTGCCTGTAGAAGCATATTCTTGTTCCTCATTTTTGGGCCAGTGTACACAACGTTGGGAAGGATTCATTCAGTAGAATTTTCCTTCAGTCTAAATAGATATTTTACACAACCACCTAAAATCTGGCCTCTAGAAACAGTAAATTTCTACCACATATAATAGAGCTTCTTATATGGAAATACGTTGTGGTAACGCTGTGTAATGTGTGAATGGGATTAAAACAAGCTCTTTTAATATGAAACTGGGATAGTCATCTATTTTATTTTCATAAATCCTTTTTTGTGTGCATTATTTTGGGACTATACTTATTGACATATATGATAATGACAATTTAATATGAAAGTTAAATTTATTCCACAGATCAGCATCAGTTACTTTCTGAATAGAAAACGTTATGATTTTAACTGAATTTAGTGAGAGAAAAATCAGTATAGTTTATGTTTTTATGCTTTTGCAAAGAGTGAATTCAAAATAACAGTAAGGTATGTTTCGTTTCTCTTGACAGTTCTCCGAACACATTTGTTATAATGATCGCATGGGTGAGGGCTGACAAGATAGACAAGAGCATGTAGTTTGTAGTTGCCTCCTTTTCATTATCACTGGTCAAGAATTCTCTCTCTCAATAAAATGCACCAACTTATGGTCCAGAATGACTGGCAATTTCTTCAGGTCTCAGCTAAAGAACGTTAACCTTTAGTTTTAAAAAAGCTTTAAGCAGTATCTTCACAAACCTCTATCAGCAGATGAGGATGCTACTTTATTCCTGTAAAATCTTAACCTTTCTCTGTGTAAGTAAGGATAAAATTATATTGGAAGCACTAAAACACAGGTTCTCTGTGTGAGCAGAGAGGAAATAAAAGGATAGAAAATCTGAGATGAACTTACGTAAAGGAAAGGATCCATTCATTTCTGCTGTAGTGTCGTTATGAACACATATGTTTTCTCCCACATGTCCCTAACTGAACAGCAGGGTTTCTGAGACTCTACACACACTCATCTGTTAGAAAGAAATGAAGGGAATAAAGTGTTGCTCTCCTTCACACCCGTGTCGATGGCAAACCTGTCCTCCAAGACCAGAGAGAAAGCGTGTTTTTTCAGAGATGTTTCCACTTGGCTCGTCCATCGTCTCGCCGGGTCTAAAATTAGCCCTTCCTCATTGTTTGGAGTCTCAGGTTTTAAGGGTTGATAAACCAGTGATTCTCCTCCTTGGCTCAACATCAAAATTACTTGTGGAGCTTTTACAAATGCTGAATTAGAATCTTTGAGTCTCTATTTTGTAAAAGTTTCATAGATTATTCTGTTGTACCCAGAGATAAGCAGCATTGAGCTACATAGCAGTGCAGGCCGACACATAACAAAGCTTAGAGAGGAAATCTGGAGAAAATGCACCCGGCCTTCTCCGTAACTGGGACTCTGGCAGTGTGGCTCTTGATCCGTTGTGGAGTTTGGTAAAGGGTAGTCCATTTTCATCCCTAAATAAACTTATCTGTTCCCTTTGAATGTTCCAATGTTTACACAAAATGAGTTCATATAAGAAGAAAGCATCGAGGAGCTTCAAAAGACCGGTCAGAAATAGGCAAGAAAGAGGAAGAGAAGGTTTTAGAAGACTCTGTGAAGACGTAAAGGCTTTGGTTGGTTACAGCCAGCAGAGGCGGGTGAGGAGGAAAAGTCAGAAATAAAAACGGTCCTTGTCTAACTGTGAGAATCGGTAGCTAATCCCCAGGCCTGAATGTTTCTTTGCTGGATAAAATAGCAGATCTACCAAAAAATGAAAACAAACGGTGGTATAAGGCTAACTTTTAAAATAACAACTGAAAGACTATATAGTTCCAAAAATAGGCTTCTGACTTAGCCCTAGAGCATCCAGACTCCTGTGCCTGCCAGATGAGGTCCGCAAACCCAGACACACAGAGACAAAGGATTCGAGCTGACCTCACCAATGAAGCAGCAATGCGAACAGGAATTAAGCTGTTTATGAACCATTTAGGTTTTAGGTGGGCTTTGCTGTGATACCTTATCTGAGTAACTGCTTTAAAAAACAAGCTTCTATCAAATGGATTTATGCATATGTGAGAGACATAAGGTTGACAAAGTTTTACTGCTTCATAGGGATTAAGAAAGCACACATTTGTTCTATTATCTACAAAGAAGCACTTTATTATCAAATAGTTCAGCATCAGAACAAGGTTTCTAATTCCAAAAGTGTTTTCTTTCGATAATACCCTATTGTGAAATACACAGAAGCATCAGACTCTACATCCTACATCCCGTTCCAGTTTCTCCTTTGCAGTTGGGTAACTTGTTTTGATTTCAAAAGTACAAATTTATCTCATTCTTGTTGATGGTGTCCATGAAATACAAGTATTAATTCCTTTTCAGCTACTATTTTACAAGTATACTGTGCCAGGTATACAGACCTGTTTTTAGTGACATAAAAGGCAACTACAAGAAAAACACAATCATTTTTACTCACATAGGCAAAATCTCTCAACACAAAAGCAAAGGACATTATGCAATTATGTAAGGCAGACGAGCCCAGAAATAACACTCCTTCAAAGACAGTACTTCATAGTCGATAATCCCATAGGAGAAATTAATGACTCAGAGTAAACAGAAAATTAAAATTAGCCCTTGGACCTTTGACAATTTAACTGCCAAAGCCTTTTGTGAATTCTAACGAATGCTCTAAATTAGCCACTATTTCTCAGAGTGATGGACCAGAGGAATACAAACCCCAAGAGTTATAGGCTGTTTTAAATGTGTTTTTGTTCAAGTTATTCCTTCATCCAGTATCCCACAGATAAAGCTGTTCTGGGGGCGTACTTACGATTTATAATCAATCAATTAACTGAGTGCCTACTGTATGCAAGGCACGGTGCTAGATGCTGATGAGGCGGGAGTGACCATTCCTGGCTGTCCAGGCTGTCCACGTGCTATCAGCCTGCTGAATAATGGAAGGCTTGGCCAGAAGAGCATATACTTAGACCAATGTGCCAACAGTATCCAGCTTAAGTGACTTGAAAGAGGAAAAGGTAAATATAATAAAGACGTTTTAATTTTTTTCCTTTAAGCTTAGTCCCATCTGATCAGAGTGCTGAATGCCTTCTATGTAAACTGCATTTCGGCAAATGGGGAAGACTGACCGCCATCCTCCTCTTGACAGAACGGAAGTATTCAGCCAAATGAAGCTCATCGTAAATACTACTAATTAAAGAGAAGTTATTCTCTGACTTTTGCAGAGAAAGTGGATACAGGCTAAAACTTCTTTCCTGCAGGTGAGGATCAATTTTTAAAGGCTCCCACTCTGCTTGCTTTGCTGATGAAGTTCTTCATGAGATCATGGTCCATCTCCGCAAAGCCTGCAGTCTGTGTTACCATAGTCAAATGGTTTATGCAAAACCTGAAGCAGAATTCTTCTAAATCCTAAGAACAACAAAAAAAATGTTTTAACAAATTTGTATATCCCAATGCAAGGCAACATAGCATGAAAAGTCCTAAAACACGCAGGCAAGGCAAAAGGATTTGATAGTCACGAGGAAGAAACATTGGTACGGCAATACTTAAATAGTTATAAAACTATACAGCTAATATGAATGTATGCTGGTAAAAATTTAACTCAGAGGAAAACATCCAAGTTCCTCCACACCGACCAATGCGAAGAATCTGACTTTTTTGTCCCAGCAAAAGGCACCTATGTGTATGAATTATCTTTTTCTAGTGACCGGATTTGTATTGTTCGTTCCACTTTCAGTACTGGTTAAAAGTACTATACTCCTCTTTTATATTCCCATGGAGGCTTGAATCTTCCTACCTGTAAAGAGTTTGTGAGAAGATTCAGCCATAAACAGTACTGACACTGGGAAACTGCTTCTCTGAAGTCACTCACAGGCCGCCGCTCTTTGTCCTTGACAAGATGACAGAGGATGGGATGGGCGGATGTCACAACCCACGCACACCTTCAAGAACCTTAACTGGGAAAGCGCTTTGAGGGAATCATGACTTTCTCTCTGCTAAGAACTGCAAAGACCCACATTTTCTGGCTTCCTGTAACGTACTCTGGGCCACAGAGGAATCCTGTAGTGGTTCTCTTGACTCGATATGTAAATCTGAGAATCAGAATGAAGGTGGGCGGATGCTTTTTTGGCCCCAGGGAAATGACAGCTAAAGTGAGGCCAGCCTGGGGAGACTCTGCTGTGCCTCAGACCCGGGGCCACGCTGCCATCCTGACCCAGGACAGGGTGCTGCCAGGTGGTGGTTATAAAGCTCCCTCTCTATGTCACTGAAGGTAACTTATAAAAATGATGCCCAAAATAATCTCCAAGCAATTATATATGCCCATTGCACACTATAATCTTTTCTTCTTTAGACACTTACAAATTATAGCAAATGCTGAAGATGAAAAGACAGAAAAATTAGCAATACTGATTGCTATGCCAACGTACACACAAATCCACAGTACATTTTAAGTAAAGAAACAAACTACATGAGGAAAACCTATTTATTTCATCCCTGAACACAGCTTGGGCGGGCTGCTGGGGCAGTATGACAACTCAGTCCCAGGTCAGCCCTAAGTGACAGAACAGGCAAAAGTCCACACCCCCACCTGCTATCGTAGCATGTGACATACATAAAAATGTGTTTCACTAACACATGCTGAATATACCATCAGCCATTTAAAAGTATGGGCTCTTGCTTAAATTTACAGAAATCACACGTTTGCCTACAGCACATAGAAGTGAAACAAGACAGAGATACAGCCTCTCTGCCTGAATTTGCCAGAGGAATGGAGACATTCACACCCACGCCACCCACATTAAAGCATGAATGTCTGCACTTAGGTGGTTAGGCAGGAGGAAGCCTTACAGATCTGGACAGCTTCAGTAAAACTGTTCACCAGTGGGAGAACAAAAGGACCAGGAGAAGTCATCACTTGGATCCCCCCTCCTTTACTTTTCTAGAATGGGAACTCCCATAATAATTAAAGACAGACAAGAACTGGAAACAGTTCCTGTGATTCTAAGAATTCAATAAATCTGGGCGTAGAGTGATATTTGGTTACAATGGAATTCTCTCCATATAAAACAAGGCCACCATGATTTTTCAGAAGAGTTGTACTTCTCCTTTAAATGCTACTACTTTAGAGCTTCCTGTTTAAAGTTGGGCCCTTAGTTCTGTCCTGCAATCCAACTACATTTCCCTAGTTGATTCCTTCTCTTCTCCCACGTGATTCTCGTACCTTCTCCCGTTAAACTCCAACACCTCCTCCCTCATCCTCACGCTACGCTAAGTTTACCCCCCCCTTCACTGAGAAAAGAGCACTCAGAAGAGACCCCCCCAAGCTCTGACACCATAGGCCCCGCCTGCCCACACAGATGCCTGGAGACTCCATCTTCTTTCCTGTAGCTCTGCATGAGCAGGCCAGGACCTGATCTAAGGCCAGGCCCCGCTTTTTCACTAGATCCCAGTGGCTCCCACCTCCTCAAGGACACCACTCTAGCAACTGTCCCTGCATCAGCAGCTTATTCCCCGTGACTGGATCATCTGCTCAGCCTACAAACATGCTTCAAGCTCCTTCATCTTAACAAAGTAAATATATTTTTACCTCATATGCCCCTTCAATCATCACCAGTTCTGTTTCTCTTTCTATCTTTACAGTGAAATTACCAGAAGTTGTTGTCTATATTCCCTGTCTCCAATCCCTCTGCTTCCATTCTCCAGTCAGGCTGTTACCCCCATCACTCTGTTGACACTGCTGCCCAGGTCACCCATGGCGTCCTCACCGCCAATCCCACGGTTAGTCCTCAGTGTGCACCCTGACCGAGCAGCAGCATCTGGCGTGGTGCATGACCTCTTCCTTCTGACACACTCTCCTCACCAGCTTCTAGGACACACTCTCCTGGCTTTTCTCTTCCTTCCCTGCTGGCTCCTTTGCTGGTGTCTCTTTATCTCCTTAACCTCTAAACAGTGAGTGTGCAGACTTACTCCTCACATCTGCCTGTCTCCTGTCAGGCTCACAGCTTTAAATGCACTTCTCGCCTACACTGGTGACCTTCCCCTGAACTCCAGGCTTGTTTATCTAACTTGCTTATTAAGCATTTTCATTTGGATGTTTCATAGACATCACAAACTTAACATATTCAAAATCAAATTTCTGTGTTTCCTAAAAACTGCTGCTCCTCTCGATCTTCCCTATTTCAATGAATGATCATTTCATCCTTTCAGCTGGTCAGGCCAAAAACTGTGGAGTCATCCTAAATTGTCATCTTTTTTTCCCTTATCCCACATCCAACCCATTAGCAAATCCTGTTGGCTCTACCTTCAAAATGTATTCAAAATCCAGCCACTTTTCACTATCCCCACAGCTAGTAACTTGGACCAATCCACCATGATCACTTACTGGATGATACAGCCTACCTAGCAACCCCCTCACCCTCACACTGGTCTCAACACAGCAGGCAGATTATCTCCAAATGTCAGTCACATCGTGCCTGCTCCTCTCCGCACCCTCTAATGACTCACTCATCTTAGAACTCAGATGCCTTCCACTTGCCCCTTGGGCTCTGCAGGCCCGGCCTCCCTCCACACACACCCGTCCTCATCCTCACGCACCATCTCTGACCTCACCTACTGCGCTCCTGCCGCCCTCTACTCCACGCATGCCCACCTTGCTGTCCCACATCAGCGCCTTTCCCTTGCTCCTCCCTTAGCTGCAGTGTTCTCCCCCACTTGGCTTCAGAGCTCCTTCCAGCCCCTTCAAGGCCTTTTGCTCGTTGCCTTCGCAGTGCTACCTTCCTTCCCTGTATTTCAAACGTTAACTTTCATCTCAGCCTGGCACTCCCCATGCTTCCCGACCTTTTTTCGATATCACTCATCACCATCCTACATAGTATATACTGTGTTCGTCTATTTCCTGCCCATCTCCCCTCACCAGGAAGTTCCACGGGGGCAGAGATTTTGGTCTGTTCTGTTCACATGCTATACTCTCAGTGCCCAGAAACATGCCAGGCATATACTACGCCCTCAGTGAAAATTTGCTGAATCAAGGAACAAATACTGTCAATTTGAAAAATGGGGTGGAAGGGGGCAATAGAGAATTGTTGTTAAATGTGTGGTTTTGAAATCTGTCCAATGTTTGATTGCATTCCAGCTTTATCATTTACTAGCTTATAAAGGATTTACTTAGTCTCTTTGACCTTCAGTTTTCTCATTAGTAAATTGGGACTAATAATAATAATGCCTGTATCTTATGAGGTTCTTTTGAGGATTAAACAAGATATAAACTGTGCTTTGAATAATCCCTGGTTCCTATTAATTATGTGTTAAGTGGCAGCCTAGCATGAGGAATAATAATTTGCTGAAAAAGCCCATTTCTTGTTTGATTATTAGAGTCAGCAAGTAAAAAATACTGGCCAAACCAAATTCAGTGTCCTTTCTTTATAAAAATGTTTATTTTATATTAAGAATACATACGGTGTATTTTACTTGTAGCCTACTATACTAATTTGGGAAACAACAATCAGTTGACAGGCTGTGGGAACACACAGTGCCTACACAGGCAAAGTCATACATTCATTACACAAATATTTTGTGAGCACCCACTATGTGTCAGCACCATCCAGGGCGCTCGGGACATGGCTGTGAGCAAAACAAAGTCCCTGCCATTCCTGAAGGAGCTTACTATCTAGAAAAGAGAGGGCTGGAGGGTAGCCATACAAATAATTCACATAATAAGGAATATGAAAGTCTTGGAAATAATTAAGCCCAGGTCAGAGGGGAACACCATTTGCTCCCTATCTCGTCATCTGAGGGAGCCCAGCAGAGTCCAGAGTCATCACCATGACTTTAACAAACTCCGGGAAAAGCACACAGATCTTGCTTGGCCGTGAAGCATTTTGCATGTCATAAGTGTCATTATCACCTCAATGAAAGACATTCACTATGCTTTTAAATGCCAATGTTTCATGGTGGGTAAGACTTTTGAAAATGTTAAGTGGAAAAAAATCTAACATTTAGAGAAATATACATAATGTAACCTAAGAAAAAATCAAAAGGAGCAGTTTCTTTGGTTGTGAGTCATTTCCTTCCTCTCACTTCTTGTATGTTCCACATTCTCTTTAATAAGCATATTATTATTTATATAAGCAGAAAAGAAGTTATAACCCCTTTTCCGCCCACCACCAAAATGTCCCTGTTTTTTTACCAAAGGAGAGGATATCCTTATACCAAAAGGAAGCCGACTGCAAGAAGTATGGCCTGTTTCCTAAAGATTTAGCCCTGAGACAGGTTTTCTTTCCTTTCTTTTTTATCAAAACAATACATGGTCACTGTAGAAAGTCCAGAAAAAACAAGCAAAGATAAGGAAATAAAAATCATCCATAATCCCACCATTCAAAGATGACCACTGGCTCCATTTTTGTCTTTTTCTCTATGTAGATAATGAATTTCAGTCTTTTTAAATTCAGCTATTTATATGTTCTTAAAAAATAAAAATAGGACCATAGTTTTTCAATTAGTGATATATCTTGAATAGCTGCATAATTTCATAGTATTAACATTTTGTAGTTGAAACAATGCTCTACTGTCACGTTGACTTTTTCTAATTTTTCAAAATGATAAACCATGCTGCAGGAAACGTCTTTGAAGTGAAATCTTCGTCCAAATCCATGATTACTTCCTTGAGATAAATTTCTGTAAGTGAATTCCTTACAGAATTATCTCTTTAAAGCTTTCAATACATATTATACCAAATTGCTCCCCAGAATGACTGCACCAATTTGAATTTGCCCTCTCATCCGCAGCTCGGGAGAACACCCGTTATTCTGAGCCTGTATTATTTCTAAAAATACATTCCTCAGATGGATGGGGGAAAATTACACCTTGTTTTCATTTGTCCATAAATCCATTTGTTCTTTGGTCCACTTCCTTCAAAACCAAACTGCTCATATTTTTTTGTTTTTTAAGAACCATACATTAACAATGGTAAACTTGCTTCATTATATGTTGCAAATATTTTCCCAGTGTATCATTTACTTTCTAATTTTTTCTGTGCTATTTTTGATGTATAAACGTTTCTTATCTTTTTGAAATCAGATCTATCACTCCTTTCCTTTACGGTTTCTGCCTTTGGGGTCCACCCTAACATGATATAAATATTCACTTATATTTTTTCTGGTATTTTAGTTACTTTGTTTACATTAAATCTTTAATCTCCCTGGAGTTTATTTTCGTTTAAAATACACAGGACACAGCCAACTTGACTTTTCCCAGAAGGCCAGCTAGTTGAGCGAGTGCTTTTCTTACCTGAGCGTCATACTTCACAGCAGCTGAAAGCAGAGCGATGGCATTCTCCTCACAGATTCCTTGCTTGATAGTTTGTTGGCAGAGCTTTTTCAAACGATTTTCTCTATAAAATGTAGCCAAATCTAGCAATCCTGGTGGAAAGAGGTGTTTATTAGGGGGAGTGACTGGAAGCATCCTTGTTTAAACTCACTCAACCCTCCAGAGATGACTGACGTTATTCTGAAGGTAATCCTTAGTGAAGGGCTGTGCACACGAAGACGTACGCTGCTTACACTCTGAGTGTGTGGCTCTACCTGAGGACATAGCTGAAGTGAGCAGATACAAGACACAAACAAGCAGCAGCGGACAAACAGGAGCACGGTAAAAATAGCTTTAATGTTTTTCCTAGAAACGCTCCTCGAATTCTCTCTCTCCCCGCATCATCAATATCCTCCCCTGGGTCATTTCCATCAGCATTTGCACACATTGCACCTACTCAGACCTTTCCTGGACACCCATTTCTCTGCTTCCCTCGAGAGCAAACCTCCTGGGGAGAGTAGTCTCTATTTGCTACCTCTACTTTCTCACCTCAAGCCATTCCGAGCAGAAACCCATCCCCTCCACTCCCTGACATCACATGTGATCGTCACGAATGGTTCCATGGTGCCAAATCTCAGGGGCTGGTCTCTGGGTCCAGCTTACCCGACGTTTACACAGCATCTGATGTGGCTGATGACACGCCCTTCTTGACACACTGTGTTCCTTGCTTGTGTTTTCGTCTTATAATTAGTTACTCTTCAGTTCCCCTGGCTGGATCCTTTTCCGTGATTTCCAAACGTCTGAGTGCCCCAGGGTTCAATCCTCAGATTCTTATTTCACTTATTCCCCTCACTAATCTCCAGCCCCATGGCTTTAAATACTATCTATAAATACTGATGATTTCCGTTATATTATCTGTCATCTACTGTCAAATAATTCCACATAGAGTGACATACATGTGTAAGTGAATTTTAACCTACCCCTACGAAGTACTGTGAAACACTAAGAAATACTATGAAGTGCTCTAACCAGGAAGGGTCGGTTAGCATTTGAAAGGCCCTGGTCAGGGGCTTTAGGTATGGCTACCTAAATTTTCACTAGAGGATTTGCTAATTAGCATAGAGAATGCTAGAAATACTCTGTCACTGCGATATGAGTGGTGTTCAGGATACATGGCTTGGCTAGAAATACGGTGAGGGCCCTCTTGCCCTTGTGTGAAGGGGTTCCAGCATTGTGAGCCCAGAGGTCCTACACCACACAGTCAGAGCAGGACATTCGCCAGGGCTACATTCAGTCCTGGGGTGCCACCTGACCAAAAGGTTAGCTGAATCCTGCCCCCAGAAAACTGTCACATCCACTTCAAGCCAACCTTTGATGCAAGGAACTTCACAGAGGGCCGCATTTCATCAGTCTGACAACATTAACTGTTTCTGCACCTATCTGCTAATAAGTTTTTTATATGCGGTAGAATGTGGTTGGAAAATTGCTTTCACTGTAACGTGACAAATATCAAAATTACAGAAGACAGGCCTATGGCCCATCAGAAGATATTGAAATCTTCTGAAATCTTGAGAGTTGTGAATGGCTTGATTGTTTCCGGTTGGTTCTCAACACTCCCAAATTCACATCAACAGTCCCACACACTCCCAGCCTTCAGAATCATGTCTCCATAGACCCCACGTGCTGTCCTAAGAGAGGCCCCTGCCCTGAGCCCCTGCTCAAGAGAGCCCAGCTCTGAGCCTCCTCCAGGCACAGCCCTGACCACAAGGTGGCCAAGGAGCCATGTGCCACTCCTAGACCACAATTTAGGTACCTGGGACACTGAGGCCACATATGTGGGCATTTCCTCCCCTACAGACCACACCACCAATGTGCAGATGCCCAGTCCCAAGTGGTGGCCATGGCTGGGCTGGGTGGGGCTTGGACATGCAGGCTGGCAGGCCCACACACCCCTTGTGATGCAGGATGTAGCTGGTGGTGGGTAAAGAAAGATGCCATGTAGGAAGCTGGGGGCCAGGGGCCTGTCCTTCCTGTGCCACTGCTCCAGCACAGAACTCCAAGGAGTCCTAAACTCTATTATTTTCTTATTTTTTTGAAGAAGATTAGCCCTGAGCTAACATCTACTGCCAATCCTCCTCTTTTTGCTGAGGAAGGCTGGCCCTGAGCTAATATCTGTGCCCATCTTCCTCTACTTTACATGTGGGACGCCTGCCACAGCATGGCTTACCAAGCAGTGCCCTGTCCACACCTGGGATCCAAACCAGTGAACCCTGGGCCGCTGAAGCAGAACGTGGGAACTGAACCGCTGCACCACCGGGCTGGCCCCAGGAGTCCTAAACTCTAAATTCCCACTAAAACTCAAACCTGGCCTTTCAGTTCTCAATGAAGGTGTATTTTTCAAGGTATGAGGATTGAACATATATTATCTGAAGTTTGTTAGTTTGACATAAACAGTAGTCTCCCCTCATCCAGGGTTTCAGTTACCCACAGTCAACCTTGTTCCAAAGATAACGCTACATCATGGGGCCCACATCCCTCCTCTCACTTCCTCTCATCACGGAGGCATTGCATCACCTCACATCAGCACAAGAAGGGTGAGTGCAGTACAAGCTATTTTGAGAGAGAGACCACCTTCACATAACCTTTATAACAGTACATTATTATAATTATAATTGTTCTACTTTATTATTAGTTCTTGTTGTTAATCTCTTACTGTGCCTAGTTTATAAATTCAACTTTATCAGAGGTATGGAAATATAGGAAAAAACATCGTATACATAGGGTGTGATGCATCTGTGATTTCAGGCATCCACTAGGGGGTCTTGGAACGTATCCCTTGGGAGTGAGGGGGACTGCTGTAACTTTTAATTTTAGACATATGGTACATAGACCTCCAGTTGGACGCTTGTCCAGGGCCCTGCAAAGGTTAGGGGTGGGCCTATAAAAAAACCGCTATGCCATGTCTAATAAGCAGCTCAAACGCCTCTGACTTTTCAAACTCAAGAGCAAAACCTGTTGCTCTCCATCCTCCTCATCTCAGTGAATGGTGCTTCCATTAACCCTGCTACTCAGGCCAAACACCTCAGAGAAGTCGCCCTTCTCGCTCTCTCACACCCACATTCCATCCATGGACCAATCCCATCAGTTCCATCTTTAAAGTACAGCCAGAGCCTGGTCTCTTTTCAACACCTCCACTGCCACACCACCCTAACCTGGGTACCATCACCTTACACCTGAACAGTTACAATTACTGATCTTTGAAAAACAAATCACATCACTCTCGTAGAAGCTGCCAGTTGCCTCCCCCTCTCTCCCATATACACACACATCCATTCTCCCTTTCTTTCAAAGTCGCAGACTATTTGGCTGAGCCCTGGCCATCTGGAAATGAGTGCACTTTACCCAGCCTCCCATGCAGCTGGGTCATGGCCTTGGTCAGCTCTGGTCCATGGTTCGAAATAAATGGAACTTTCAGGACTTTTCCTTAAGAGACATTGGGATTTGCCCTTTGCCCCTTTGTCATTGTCCTTTCCTCCATCCTGCTGCCTGTAATGCAAATCCACTCCTGGGCCATGAGTGCAGGGGCCACATGTAGGAATGCCCTGCACTGTATCTCTGTGTGAGAGGGAAAGCAACTATCTTATTTAAGCTACTTTCGTTTTCATTTTACTATTAGAGTTAAAGCAAATCCTAAATAGCACAACCACGCTTACAGCCTTCCAAGGCTTTCCATCACACCAAGAATAAAACTCAAGCTCTTCCCCACGGCCCCCAAGGTTATGCATGATCTTGCCCAGCTCCAACTGTCTGACCTCAATTCCTGCCACTATCAGTCTCGCTCAGTCCATTCCAACCGCTCTGGCCTTCTTCCTCTTCCGCCACATGCTCATTGTGTCTCTTCTCAGACCCTCGCACTTACTGTTTCCCCTCTGAGAATGCTCTTCCCCTGGGTATCGGCCTGGTTGCTCCCTCGGGCCTCCCCCGGGGTCTCTGCTCAATGCACTTCCAGACAGCGGCCTCCCGTGACCCTCCCAAATGACCGCTGTGCTTATTCGTTTCAAATTGCTCTCCCTCATCTGAACACAAGCTCCCCAGGGCCTGGGACTCGATCTGTCTCATTCACAGACACTGAGACGAGCTGCAGCACACGGTGGGCGAGGACACTAAAACATTTGTGGAAGGAAACTACAAAACTTCCGAAATCAGATTTTTGTTCACCTGGGGAAAATTAAATGCTGATTTGGTAAAAGTGTAACTGGATTTATACATGTCAAATAAATGTTTAATTTAAAAATTTGGGGGTTGAACTCTTTCTCTAGTTCCTTAGAGAAGTAATTCCTTACTTCTTCTGTACCATCAGCCAACAACATTGCTGACAGCTGTGAACTGAAATTTAGTATGTTTCTGACTCTGGGCCCATTGGACGCCCAGGGTTGCTCTTCTGCTGTCACTAAGCCTGTGGTGCAGGGAACGCCCCTCACTCGCTTCAAGACAGAAGGCACCAGATAGCAGTGGGCTGTCCAAAGCCAACTGGGAGGGAGACGAATGCTTTTGGAGACCAGCAGGGCCTATTATTATGTGCATTTTATCTTTTTTACAACACAAACATCTTGCAAATAAAAAGTCACGTGCAGTAGCTACATGTAGCAATTAAGGAAGAATGTCACCCACTCCACAGTGGTGACAGTTTGCTAATTCATCCATCTGTCATTTTACCCATCCAGTCAACCTCTGCATAACAATAAGGAAAAAGGTTTGGGGTCAACACACAAAAAGAGAACTACTTCAGTGATTACCCTCAGAGCTACCTCCTTTCAGGCTCTACAGAAACCACCCTGGCAGTTCCCCAGCACATGCCAGTCTCAGGGTGAAGTCTGGCGGCAATTACCTACTGCCTCCTCAGGGGAAAGGCTGATGCTGTCTGTGTACAGGTATTCCAGGAAGGCCCGGTAGACAGGATAGGAAAATTCACTCATTTCTACAATATCATCCTCATGGTCTTCCAATGAAGAACGAAAATGCTCACACCTGAAGGAAGAAAGAAGCAGATCAGGTCCTAGCTTCTGGGCAAGGGCAGATGACTTTCCCGAGGAGATGTCCTCACTGGGCTCAAAGGGGAAAAAATCAGCAAGAAGGAAGAAAAACCGAGCTCCACACAATTCCCTCCGAACTGCACACCTTCACGCCCTCGCCCTGGCCCCTGGCTTCCTCTACGTTTTCAAATCACCATTTATTCAACAAGCCTGCAAACCTGCTGGGTGGAGACAGTGCCGGACTCCGGGCCTCGTCCCCACACCATGTGGGCCAAGCAGCATTTATAGAAAGCAGGTGGGTTTATTTTTATAAACTCTGAGTGATTTCGTTTCTTCACCTCCTGTTATGGGTTGAATCGTGTCCCCCAAAATTCATATGCTGAAGCCCTAACCTCAAAACAGTGTTTGGAGAAAGGGTCTTTACAGAGGTCACCAAGTTAAAATGAAGTGATTGGGGTGGGCCCTAATGCAATATGATTGCGGTCCTTATAAAAAGGGGAATTTGGAGAGAGACTCACACACACACACAGAACACCACGTGAAGATTAGAGTTACGCTGCCACAAGCCAAGGAACATCAAAGACTGCCAGCACAGCACCAGGAGCTAAGAGAGAGGCATCGAACAGATTCTCCCTCGCAGCCCTCAGAAGGACCCACCCTGCCATCACCTTAATCTTGGACTTCTGGCTTCCAGAACTGAGAGAGTAAGTTTCTGCTGTTGAGGCCACCTAGTCTGTAGTGCCCTGTTACAGCAGCCCCACAAACCAATACACCTCTCCCCGCTTTGATGAAGGTTTACGGGCTATCGGAAAAGTGAACAAATGCTGCATAGCCTGACCTTACTAAGAGGTCAACTGGAGACTAAGATGCCATAAGGAGTTTGTGCTTCGATGCAGTAGGATTTAAACATCTGTTACACAACAACATAATGATTTTCAAAATCATCATGCTAAGAGAAAGAAGTGAGGCACGAAAGCGTACATACTGAATAATTCCATTTACATAAACTTCTAGAAAATGCTAACTAATCTGTAGGGACAGAAAGATGATTAGTGGTTGCCCCAGAGCTGAGGAATGAAGGACCTGTGAGGGGTGATGGAAACATTCTCTATCTTGATTTGGACAGTGGTTTCAGAGGCATATGCATAGGACAAAGCTCCTCAAACTGCACACTTTAAATGGATGCAGCTCATCGCTCAAAAATTATACATCAATAAATTTGATTTTTAAAATCCCTGTGTTAACTTCACCCCAGACCTTGTTGCTCTAGAAAAGCCTTATGTGCTCTTTTTCAAGCAGCTAAAAGTTCAGTATCCCACAGCTGGTTAAGGAGAGTGACTGTCCTGGGCGGAGCTCAGTTCCTAGGGAGGGAGTTCACTCCACGTGGTGCTCCACACACAGTGCATGCTCGCCAAGTGTTAGCTGGCGGCTGTCTAACTCCAGGGTGACATACCATCTGTGCCGTCTCTGCGGATGCCTAGAGCACGTACAGCCTGAACCACACCCCCAGCACCCATCGCATACGGCCTCCCTGAATTCTTGTTTCATGCCAAATGTGTTGCCCCCACTGCACAGTATCCTTGTGACGGCCATAACAGCCTTACTGTTTTTCACAATTACTGAAGTGCCTAGCACTAAGAAAACAGCAAATGTATTTATTTCAAGTCTCAAAATAAATGATTCCTTACCTAATTTTGAGAAGGACTTTATGTGCATAAATGTACTTTCCATCCACCAGAAATTTCAGGTCTGCGGTGTTGGGGTTGTCGAATTCCCTCTTCAGTGACTCAGCCACTGTGAGGTGGTCATCAGGTTCTAAGAGAGAAACACCCATGTGTCTAGAGTTAACTACAGACACAACGAAAAGGCAGGCTGGAGGACAGCATCGCTCTGTTGACACTCAGGAAAACCCAATCCCCTGAAATAACTGAGCAATGCTTTTTTCCCCTAAATATAGGGTCGCACCTCTGTAATCATCAAGGATGAGAGTCTCATACACGCCTGCTCGTAACTCTGGCAAAACAACAAGGAAAAGTCCCAAACCAGCTCACTAAATGAAATTTTTAAATGTCTGAGTAAACATATGAGCTAAAAATAAAAGATACAGTTTCCCAGTCAAATTAAAAAACAGTCAAATAAAATTACTTTTCCTTTAGTATGTTGTGTCAGTTTCTGATACTTTCGAGAAAAATTAATCAACTAGTTCCCTTTCATGGGAGCCCATTAGACGGAAATAAATTATATGATACTGCACTTAACAATGTCCTTACTATCAAAACAAAAGCACCAGAGTTTTCTTCCTAGTTTTCAGTCCATCACGCAGATGGACAGCAGTCAGCTCACCCACGGTGAGGAGGCGCCACGAGACGGCGGGAGAGGCGAAGCAGGCGAACACGTCGTCCGTGCAGGAGAAGTGCGTGAGGTGCGGCAGCACCACCGACTGGCCCCGGCACTGGCCCCACATGTACACGTGCCCTCCCTGGGTCTTGGCAGCAGACGTGTGCGTAGAGTGGCAGGCTGCGATCTCTATAATTCTAAGTTCACAAACAAGTACCACGTACACACGGTAAACGAAAGAAGAAATCAGTTGATATTTTCCTTCCCTTAGATTTAACTGATTTAAAAAAACATGACTTATACACCCAATCTCCTAAATTTCCAGGCACCTAACAGTTATTCACATTTAAGCTATACTTCAATGGCACTTAGAACTCATGAAGATCTTCTTGTTACCACTTCTAGCCAGCAGGCCTACAAAAATACACACCATCTCGTTTTGAAATTCAAGTACAATCCAAAGGAGTAAAAACAAAACAAAACAAAAGGCGACTTAATTCTTTTCTTAAAACACTACTTATTGAGTAAATAATAAAGACTTGGGCCATCTTGACCCAAGGTCAATAAATATTCTCACCAAAACGTCATCAATTTTAGGGTTAAGTGGTGCATGCTGTGGGTCACCCCAACTCATACCGCAAACAGTCAATTCAATAGTTCTGACTCACTGGACTGCGTCCTCTGGAGCCCAAGCGCGTTTTCTGGGATCAACATATGTTAGACGCTAGTGCAGTAGGTTCATGATTGCCAGAGAAATAGTTCTCAGAATACCTCCTAATGGAAAACATTGTTTTTGTCGATTTGGAAATATTTACTTTGCTCAAAGAACAAGCCAATAAGTCACCATACAGATTCAAAGAAGACAGTAAACTATTTTACCCCAAGTGAGGTCGTCATCTGGATTAGCAATGGTATCATACAAATAATAGATTCTTTGTAATTTCTCCCATCTGCCACAACCTTAGGTCAGGCACACCCCATATCTGGATCAATCTAACAGGCTCCTGGGTCTCACTGCCTTAGACTCTCTCCGCTGAACAAAATCGCACAATGTTGGCAGGTTAAGAATCCTCTAGAAACACCATTCTCATCACTACTTTCAAACGTTCAGTGACTTCCCACAAGATAAAATCCAGACACATGACATTAAGGTCTTTCATAATTTCACCTCCACCTATGTCTGGCCATCTTTCAAATCACTATTGCCCACACACCCTTTGTTCCAACAAAAAGAAGCACCCACTGCCCCCCAATGTATTTAGTCACACAGTCCTTGTTCAGGAGTGTTCTTTCCTTTTTCTCTGCGTTAGAAATCCTACCCACCTTTGAAGGCCCAGTTCAAACAGTCCCAAGGTAAGAGGTCTCTTGCTCATCTGAGCTCTTGCAGCAATTCCTGTCCATACCACTCCAGCCTCGCTTTGTTTTCTTTTCAGGTGCACATGTCTTACCTATTCAGCTAGATTACAAGTTCCTGGCAAGCCAAATTTCTTAGTTCTCTCTCCCTAAGCACTCAATACGGTGTCTTACTAAATGAAAGTTATAGATCATTTTATTGACTAGTTGGGAAAGATTGAACAACAAAGAGCAACTGAGGGTTGGGTAAGACCTCATTGACCAAGGCTAGCAACTGAAGGGTAGAGACATTCCTCCACTGCCATATTAATTAGCTGGTTCCCAATCAAGGAGGGAGGATGGTCATCATAAAACTTGGAGATTGCCATGGTGGCTTGCCTGAGAAGGCTGAGACATACTGTTTTCATGTGCAGTCCAAGTAATTTCACTCATTTATTAGAGGACAGCTCTCAGCTCTTGAAAACAATCCAAGAGAGTTAGAGGAAAAAAGCCTATGATGTTCCCTACTGGAGAGCCTGGACGATGGAGCTAAGTTCGAATCTACACACCAGGCTGTGTGATTGTGGGAACCTCTGGGAGTCTCGGTTTCATCACACTGCAAGGCTAATATGTGAGAATCAAATATCAAATGATAAACTGTGAAACACCAAGCACAAGGTCTGGCATACAAATAGTACTGTAACAACAGAGGTTTCTTATTATTACTCCTACTACTCAGCATTTTAAGTGACAAAGCTTCTCAGATGTAGAGACTGCATATTTCTAATGATGCAGTCAGGTGAGTAAGGCCTGTCCTATTTACGTGATCAGGTCAGTCAAATTGGCTCAAACCTCTAATATAGCGCTTGACAAAAGAACCTCACTCACATGGCGAAATGACCAATACTATTTGGCTTCTCAACAAGCATATTCTTTTCAACAAACAGAGAAAAAGGGGGAAGGAAACAGAATAAATATATTTATTCAAAGAAAAGCGCATCTACGGTTACCATGTTACACCCAAACATGAAGGTGGAGAGACAATTCAGTGCAGATGGTTGGTGCAGTGGGCAGGACTTGGGCTGGGAGTCAGAGAATAGCCTGTAGAGGCCGAGTTACTGAAACTCTAATAATCCACTTTATCATCTAAAAAAAAAGAAAAAAGGTGGAGGGAGCAGAATACAAGCGAGCAGTCACCTCACAGGCTTGTGGTGAAGAACAAATGAAACAGGCTACACAGCTCAGTGCACACTCAAAATGGGCCCCTTCCCATGACCAGCAGTGTTTAACAGCTGCTGCAGGAACCGTGGGGCCCCCCGAGGAGCTCACAATTTACCCAAAGACAGAAGTCGTGTATCTGTGAAACTGCACACAATTCCCAAATAACATCGTAGTGCGGCATGGACCACACGCGCTCCGGTGAGAAGGGAAAATGCCGGGACTCCACAGGGAGCATTTAAAGCAAAGGGAGGTCAGCTGGGCCGCAGGGGCCTTGGATTTGTCAAAGAAATGGCATAAGAAAAAGGAGGCAGAGAGAAATACATGTGCCAATGTGTAGGCAGAGGGCGGAAAGAGCAAGACTGGAGAGGGCCCACTATTGAGAGGACCTGACTGGAACAGACAGGCAGCTCTGGGGAGCGGAGAGCAATGAGGTTTGTTAGGAACAGAGGCGTTTGTCTTAAATCCAAGACAGAAGAGTCTAGATGGGATCTGATGCGCAGACAAATGGGAAATTGCTGCGTAAACAGGGCCGTGATGTGACGAAAAAGGTGTTCTTAGAGAGATTAACCCGGCAAAAGCGCTCAAGACAGACTGACAGAGAGAAAGAACAGCCCAGGAGGCAGGCTGCGGAAGGCTGAGGAGTGTGCAGATATCACGTCCAAGCCACACTGCCAAGGAAGAATCAGGGTAATCCTTCACCCCAACGAGAGGAAGGAGAGGCGTCAAAAATGGCCCAGGACTACGAGCCGAGGCAAACACCAGCCTGGCAGTGCAGAGGGAGGGGGACGCAGTGCTGGTCTGACTGCAGGATGGGAGTTCGACAGACAGGTATCTAAGCAGTTAAGAACAAGGCCTTCTACATTTTAACCACTTCAGTTATAAAACATCTGGCATTATCTGGGGGGAGAAGAGGTTAGAACAGCTCAACACCGTTTAGATAAACATTAACAGCTCTTGCTCTTATCATATTTAATCACCTTCACAATGATCTACTAGGCAAAGACTTTTAGATTTTTTTAATAACTTCTGTGCACTTTGGGAAACCACTTAAAATGATAAGATAGCTTCCCTTTTCTCTGATAATGTTCTATGAAAAATGTAATTGACTGGAACACAACAGTGTCCTTCTACGTTAAACTACTCACCATCAGAAAATCAAAATAAATTTAATTCCTACATTCACTTCTGAAATGTGTATTATTCGCCTCCATGAAAAGGGAGCAGGCTTTGCCATTACAGGAGGTAGAAACATTGCTTCCTGGAGAATGGTGGAACAGATACAGCCAAGGGGTTAGGATGCAGAATGCTGTGGAACGCTGGTCTTCCCTAAGCACAGCCTTGTGACATTTGCCTGGAACACCCAGCGCCACATGGGAAGTCAGGGGTGGGGCACGGGCTGGGCTGACCACAGCAGCTGCTACAGGAAGGAGAGTGGAGAAAGTTTAGAGGGAACTTTCAGGTCTGGGCTTGGGACCCAAGCAACTGCCAAGGCACCCTGCCTTTGCCTAAGGTCATCTGTTCTTAAATCTGATTCATACCAAGAAGCAAAGTTGGAAGCTCAGATTTTTCAGTCTTATATGCAACGGACAATGACTTTAAACAGCTAACCTTTACTGTCAGGATGTCTGGCATATTTCACTTTATTTTGCAGCCATTTGTAATGGAAAACAATTACTATACACTCATAATAAATAAGTTTTATGTCACCTCAACGAATGATCTACAGCAACCACATAGCTTAATGACTGAAGTACTAGAAAGGAAAAAGCAGAGACTCAGAAAGAATAGAAAACAGAAAACGAGGAGAGGAAAAAGGTCATTTGTGAGGGAGAAGAATAATGAAGAAATAGTGATAAAAAGATCAAGAGCAGTGATTCCCAATCCTGGTTTTGTAAGAGGCCAAAATATTACCAATTATCTCAAAAAGTCACAAAAATTCAAGGCAAAGTTAGTTTTAAATCAACTTAATTTAAAATGCGCTTTCATGGAACTTTAAGAACAAAGACACAAATGTTATCAAAGTATTGAAACTTCAGAAAGAGTGGGAATGACTGGAGTAGAAAGAGAATCATTTAATTATTAAAATCACTTTTATGTGAACATAAACTGCTAATTAATGTTAACATTCTTCATCATACATAGACCTCTGTGGGAAAAAATCTTAAAAGATTTTGCTTGGTTTGTTGTTGGAGCAAAGGATCCAATGTAGACAGATTTTTTCCTTTCCACTTCTGTGAACAGCGAAGTAAGACTTGATGATCCACCCCACCCTAAATGCAATCTGTTGTTTCTAATTAGTCAAGCTTCCCCATAATGGGCCCCAAAAGAGTCAGAAGTTCCTGAGAGATAAGTCACAACGTATCTGCAAAGTTTCAGTCATTGAAAAGGGTGGGCAGGTGCTGGACAAGCCCCAGCAGACTTATAAATTCCTCCCTCGGCACACTCGTGTGATCGCGAGCCCGCATTTTCAGAAAGTGCCAGGTGAAACTCAAGCATGGGAAACGGAGAAAAGCAAAAATATCTCATTCAAAACATCCACCCACGATTTCTGTAGCCAAAATAAAGTGTACGTGGACAACAGCAAGTATGCAAAACTGTGGCTACTTCCACTTTGTTTACATGTAGAATTCAAAAATTTAAGAAAGTTAAGAAATTTGTTCAAAAAAAATTAAAAGTTTTGAAACTTTTTTAAAAAATTAGAAGTGTTTTAAAAAGATGGAAAAGCAACAGGTAACTCTCCAGTACCAGGTAAGGAACTTGGCACTAACATAACTTCCACGCCCTGCTTCTCTGCCTCCTTTTCTTTCTCCCAACAAGCTGCCCTGCGGTCCGCTGTCCCAGCACCACTAGAGGCAGAAGACCTGGGCCTCACTCTGGGACTATCAGGGACCAGCAGCACAACGTGGTCCCTCGTGGGCCACAAGTCACTGGTGAGCAGATGGCAGCGGATTCTGTGAGTCCGGGAACAGATGAGTTAAAGTGTATGTCAAGTATGGCAGCACATAAAAATGGTAAAGTGCTGTACAAATATGTTGTTTTTATTTCCATGTTACCTTTATTTGATCCTTTAACACTTTATTGTTTTGTCTAAATACTAAATGTCCCTACTGGCTGGATTTGCTAAACTGAGGCATTTTTGTGATTATTCAAGGCCTCAAGACCATCCCTTCTCTTTTGACTGGGTAGTTCTGAACTACCTTTTAATGCAAATGACATGGCTACCAGCATCCAGTGCCTGCCCCCCAGGGCCTGATCTCCATTCTCTCTCCTCTTCCCCAGTTCCTAAGGGGTCCAGGGTCTTATTCTAAGATTTTGGGGAAAAAACAAAATCTGTTTAACCCATTTAACATAGCTTAATAAGATCAGCCAGGTTTACAATACTCAAATGAACATAAGGGGAGTTGAATCTCCCTTTACCTATTTATCCATGTATTTATTTTTAAATCAGATATAAGAAAAATTAATATGTAAAATAAAAATGAAAACAGCAGTATTAATTTCTACAATGATTATAACTCTGGTTTAAAAGAAAAGATAGTGAAATGTTTTTGTTCTATACTACCGTGTCAAGAAATGAAGAGTGAAAAGGCAGTGATATGGCTGTGTTTGAGAAATTCAAAAGGCCTTCAAAACCAGTAGGATAACTTGAGAAAAAATTCTAGCTATGCTAATTACTTAAAACAACCTTTCGAACAAGTGCACAAAACTGAGTCTTAATTTTCCAACCATTTTACCCTCCTTCACAGTGATAGCTTGGGAGTGGAAGTAATGAAACCATCTTATCCTTCTCAACTGGCAAATTTTATAAGTAGCCAAGTGAATGGACTTACATCTCATTTGAGTTACTTTCATCTTTCTAAGCCACAGAAGATAGACCTCAAATGTTATCAACTTCCCCTTAAAAACGTAAAGCAGAAAAGAATGAGAAGGGGGAGAAAAGGTCATTTGGGAGGGAGAAGAATAATGTAGAGTAGCTGTTGGGGGTTTAGTCATTGTAGTCTGTGCAGAGTAGCTACTGGAGGTACAGATCAAACAGGGGTAAGTGAAAATAGAATATTTAACAGACAGACCGTCAACCTCCCCAACAACTCAGAAGCCAGTTTTAGAAAGCAATGAATGCTCTCGTTAAGGAATATTCTAACACTACCAATAAGTTCCCCGCAATTCCATACCATGTCTAAGTTTTGTTCAATCACTAGAGAACACTGAAGTTATTTAGAAGAAACACATATTACCTGTCCTTTTCCACAATGATAGGAGTAGGATAGGGCTGGTTACTTTTATTGCCGGTGCCCAACTGGCCATAAGAATTTGCACCCCAGACATACACTTGGCCTTCATCTGTTAATACTAATGTGTGTGCGTAGCCACAGGCAGCCTGGAAAGAGAAAAACCAAATCTACGCAGGTCTGCAAATAAAAGGGAATATGCTTTCACAAGATAAGAATCAAAAATGAAAAAAAGGAAGAGGCAGCCGGCACAGAGAAGTAAGCATTAAGGGAACCAATACCCCTCCAGGACTAGCTTAGCCCTGTGTGTGGCCAAAACCTCAGGAAGATCAACATGAGTCCTTTAGTGACACGAGTCCAGTTTATTCGGCTTTAATATGGCATTCATTAGGCTCACGGAGATCAAGGGGTAGAAAGTGAAGAAGAAATAGACACTTATTTTTTAATAATGTTCTTTTTTTATTATAAAAGTAAAGCATGTTCGATGTGAAAAAATATAGAAAGTAGAAACATGAAAGTAATGTCAAGATCAGGGGTTTTTTGCCCATTTATATATAAATATAGAGATAGGCACTGATAGCTTTTTTAATGATAATTTTGCATAAGCAGTTCTGAATCTTTCTTTTTAATTTTTTTTTTTTTTTGGAGGAAGATTAGCCCTGAGCTAACATCTGCCACCAATCCTCCTCTTTTTTGCAGAGGAAGACTGGCCCTGAGCGAACATCCGTGCCCATCTTCCTCTACTTTATATGTGGGATGCCTGCCACACCCGGGATCCAAACCAGTGAACGACAGGCCGCCGAAGTGGAACATGTGAACTTAACCGCTGTGCCACTCAGCAAGCCCCTCTGAATCTTTCTTTTTAACTTAATATTACATATAGCACTATTCCCCAGATCATTAGAAATCCTTACTAGACATCATTTTCATTCATATAGATTTAGTATAATTTATTTAACCATTAATTTATTGTTTGATTAAATTATGCTAATCTACTTTTTATTAAAGTCATCAATTTTTTCTTTTCTTTTCTTTTCTTTTTTTGCTATATCTCCTCCATCAATTCTGTAAGTAACTTTCTCTTTGGTTCCTTAGGATAATTTCCTGGGAGTAGAATTGCAGATCAAAGGGTATGAATATTTTTAAGGCTCTTGAGATGCACGGCCAAAGTTTCCTTGGGAAAGATTACAACAATTTACATTCCAACAGCTCTGTATGAGAGTGCCCTGGAAACAGAAATTTTCTAATAATCAGCTACAACTTAATTCAGGGAAAGGGGGCTTTAACCTCTACATCAATGACGACATTCAAGCAGCTAAACCTTTCACCCTGCTAAGAACACTGTGTTTTTAATACATTGGTATCTTTGCCACTGAAGACTTCATTGCAGGCACACATAAACCAACAGTAGACGTACCCGCTGGACACGGATGCCTTGCAAAGCTGCCACTCTACAGGGGGTTGGCTGGTTGCCACTGCCGCCAAGTCCGAGCTGCCCATTTCCACTGTAACCCCAAACATAGACCTGAGAGATAATGAGAGAGGCAATGCCCATGAAGGATGAAGAGCAATCACATTCTCTTTTATGAGAAACATGCCATGTTGGTAAGGTGGTTAAGGCAAACAGGTTTTTTAAAGCAACTTAAGAAATAACTTTCTTACCTCCCCAGTGTCCACTACCGCCATTGAGCACATCTGCCCACAAGCTATGTTCACAACTACTTTATTCTGTAAGCAGCCAGTGACTCTTCGAGGGATCGGCTGATTAGCTGTTGATCCAGATCCTACCTGCCCAGAGTTATTATAACCCCAGGCAAACACCTTTTTGAAAGAAAAGATCAATAAATGAAACACGTTAATTTACAAAGTGTCTCAACTGGACACTAACATGTTCTTATGGTACCTCCTCTTTACTCCTCAAAGTGCTTGATATCCATAAATTCTCACAACACAGGCAGAGAAGTTTTTGTAAAATTCATTCTTACAAAATGATTAATATATAAAATTGTTATTGGCGTTATCTACACAAACAGCAATAATTATTATCAAATATCATATAATACTTATAAAAATATCTACTTTGCCTCAGCCATATTTTCTAGCATTTTGGAATTTTTCTTTTTGCAAATAACCCCCTTCAGTGTAGCAATATAGAAGGAACAATAAAGCTTTTTAAATTTGCAGTTATATAAATCCTTACTACATAAAGGTACACTCATAATATAAACACCACGACTATGAGTTGCTAACAAGGATAAGACTGAATCTGAGAGAGGTGGCTATTTTAACCAAATGATCATATTTCCAAGACTGCTATAGGAATCTACATAATCTTATTGAAAAGATCAATGAGACTTATGCTGACTATTCTCACCTCTCCATCAGATGTTAGCACCAAAGAATGATAAGACCCACAGGCAACTTCAATGACTCGTTTGTTTGACAAATTAGTAGAGATATGACAGGGCACTAAACCATGATTAGTCGTCCCATTGCCCAGCTGGCTATATGCATTATGACCCCATGTAAAGACTTCTCCTTCTGAAAAATAAAAAGAAACATAACCAGCTTTCAAGACATTTACTTCATTATGTAAAAATATATATTGCACACTCCCACAAACGAGAACTAAAAATTCACATGCAAAAGCAAATCAAGGGGCTGGCCCCGTGGCCGAGTGGTTAAGTTCGCGCGCTCCGCTGCAGGCGGCCCAGTGTTTCGTCAGTTCGAATCCTGGGCGCGGACATGGCACTGCTCATCAAACCACGCTGAGGCAGCGTCCCACATGCCACAACTAGAAGGACCCACAACTAAGAATATGCAACTATGTACCTGGGGGCTTTGGGGAGAAAAAGGAAAAAAATAAAATCTTTAAAAAAAAAAAAGAAAAGCAAATCAACTTCCCTATTCCACCAAACTCATTCTATAAAAGAATATATTTGAAAAGTACAAACTACATTCTACTTCAAGGCATCAAGATGAAATTGAAGTGGATGCACTTATAATAGCTGTAAGTTAGGTTTTTGATAAACAGTAGAGAAAACGCTGCTAAAAGTAATAGAAAAAAACATTAGGTTGAAAGTCAAAGATTGTAAGGTCACTTGACTTCTCTGGGCCTTAATTTCTTGAACTATAAAATGATCACCAAGTTAATTTTTAAAATCTTTATCATATTATTTATCATGCAGTATAACACACATTCAGAAAAGTTCATAAAACATATATGCACAGTTTTATAAGTAATTATAAAGCACACACTCACGTACAGCTACCATGCAGGTCAAGAAATATAATCTTATCATCACCCCAAAAGCCCCCCACACTTACAACCTGAATTAGACAATTTAGTTTTTCCTGTTTCTGAACTTTAAATAAGTGGACTAATACAGAAACACTGCTTTCACCTGTATTTGCTACCATCTTCTCTCTTTGTGCTACATTCTCGATAATTTCTTCTGATCTATCTTCCAGTTTGTTAATTTTCTCTTTTGCTGTAACCAAACTGCTGCAAAACTTGTCCATTAAGTTTTCCATTTTGATAATTATATTGTTTATTTGGTTCTTTTTCAAGACTTCTACAATCTCTGCAGGTACCTTCAAGCTCATTTTTTTTCTTCAAACACAATAAATACAGCCATCTTATAACTGGTGTCTGACAATTCTAATATCTGATAGTTAGTCAGTTTTTGGGTTTTTTTGCTAGTGTCTTGTCTCCTTGTGTATCTGATTATCTATGATTCTGTGCTGCTAACTACCTTTGGAAAATTATTTTTCAATAGTATTATACTCCCTCGGGCCTAGGATGAAGATCCCTTCCTCTAGAAAGGATTTGTATTAACTTCTGTCATGCTCTTAAAGCACTTAAAGGTGTCCCTTTAATAAATCCAAGGCTTTAGGTTCTTGGACCACACAGTGTGATGTGAATTGGAACACAAATCTACAGTTATGACCTCTTAGGGAGAGGTTTGCTTTCTGTTTTTCTCCCTGCTTTGCTCAGAGGTAAGGAATTCTTCTTTTCAGTCCCTTAGTGATGGAAGAACTGGTTCATCCTTGTCCTGAGAGTGGAGCCCTCTGTGGTCGTAGCTCAACGTGTGAGGCCCTCACGTCATGAGTACATCAAACCACAACTCTGTTCAAGTGGATACGCAGATGCCTCAAAGGCAATTTTAGCTTCAAGTTCCCCTCTAACCTCTTAGTTCTCACTTTCTCTTAAATATGGTCTGATCATTCCTTTCTGCCTTGTCAGTGCTTTGATGCATTTACGAAAAATTTTTTAAACATTTTATTCAGAATTTTTAGTTGTTTTCAGCAAAGAAGTGGTCTGAATAATCTAGCCTATTACTGGAAACCAAAAATCCCTAAAACTTATTTTTTAAATGCAAAATAAATATACAAAAGAGTATTTATAAAATTTATTTTTAGTTTAAAGACTATTAATGAAATGAATACCCAGCTGAAGAATAACTCTGAAGTATGTTTTAATGATAATGTCTTAGTCTGAATTCATGAATAGCAATGAGAATAACTTCTGACATTACTAGTACCAACTACAGCCATTAGTCGCTGTTTAACACAAGAATCACAGACTGCTGAGGTGGAGGGCATCTTGGAATCTGGCTTTAGTTTCTCAGTTCATAGATCAGAAATCTCAAATTCAAAAAGTCCAGAGTAAGTTCAGTGTTCTAATGCAAAATAATGAGTCCTATAAAGTATAAACAAAAGGGGTTTACTGGGTTTACAGCACTGTCACTCTGACATCTAAAGTGCCAATAATTGCTAGAGTCCATCTGCCACACTATCTTAGCCTGATATTTAGATATGTTCATATTGCATGTCGTCCAAAGCACAGTCAAGTTCACAGGGCAGAGCCAGAAGTTCTTGCCCAATCAAAGAGGATGTTCTTGATTTAAGGGGTGGTCCTAGTGTCGTTTCTCAACAAATAACGACGCAAGGGCCAAAATTCGACACTGTGTTCCTAGTTACCTGATGTGGCAAGGACAACATGTGGACCACTCCCATAGCTGAGACAGGCTACTTTTTTGCCAGTTAAAGAGTCCAGTCTCCGAGGTTCAATGGTGCTCTGGACGTCACCTAATCCCAAACAGCCACAGCAGTTGGTGCCGAGCACAAAAATCTGTGGGAAAAACCCACTGTTAGTTCAAGAAATTCTGTTTCTGACAAACCCATAATTACATTCAAACAGTCAGAGTCCTCCTAAAGCAAACTGCTACATTACATAATAAGTAAGAATCTACTCTCCAAGTTTTTTTTAACATAATTTTTCAGTTCCCCCCAAATCTTCAATATAGCAAATCCATTACTGAAAATATGAGTGGCTGAATTTTTTCTTCAAAATTACCTCATCATTTACTGTGGTGTATAAAACTTCATTGCCAGCACTGCCAAAGACACAAGCCTGACGTATTAACTGCAGCTCTTCCTCAGAACAAAGGGAGAAAATTGGCCACTTTCCCACATCTAACATCTTCAAAGATGACAGAGTAGCCTGTACCGGCTGAGAAGGAAAAAATGAATACATATTGAGACTGTTAATTAAAAAACTAAATTTTCTTTGCCCCTCTCACTTCTGAAGGAGTTGGCCCTGGATTAAGGAGGAACAAGCTCTATCTACTTCTGAGAGGCCTCTCAGAGCCGTGGAAATCGCCTTTGCAGGCTCCACTGCGTCAGTACTGCTCTTACGGCAACTAAGAGCCAGAGGCCCCGGATGGAATCAGAGCTCGCCTATTAATTTTCCTCAAGGACACAGGAATCATCCAAGGCTGAACTTTGGGGAGCTGAAGGTCGAGAAAGCACTTGAAGTGTGGGCTATGTTTTAAATGTAGCTCTGGAAACTAGGCTGGTTGTAAAGGTAGGGAAAAATAATAGAGAGGCCTACTATTTCACCTGCTGCCTACATCTTAAAACAAGTCTCTGGAAAATAAAATTGCTGAAGGTGACATCAAGGAAATGGTGCAGAAGCTTCTGCTCATGGGTCAGTTCTGGCCTTCAGTTTGAGCAGCTGGTGGGTTCCCTCATCCTCCCACTCAGGTTTGGGGATCGGTAGGAAGAAACACCCAGAAAGTATTCGTTTGCTGGAGCTGCAATAACAAAGTACCACAGACCAAGTGGCTTCAACAACAGAAATTTATTTTCCCACAGTTCTGAGGCTGGAAGTTCAAAATCAAGGTATCAGCCAGTTTGGTTCCTTCTGAGGGTTGTGACAAAAAGATCTGTTTCAGGTCTCTCTCCTCAGCTTGTAGAAGGCTGTCTTCTCCCCGCGTGTTCACATCGTCTTCCCTCTATGCCTGTCTGTCTTCTTCCAAATTTCTCCTTTTTATAAGGACACTAGTCATACTAAATTAGGGCTCACCCTAAGGACCTAATCTTAGTTAAACTAATTACATCTGTAATGACCCCACTTCCAAATAAGGTCACCTGAAGTAAGGGGGTGTCTTAGTCCGTCAGGCTGCTATAACAAAATACAACAGACTGGGTGGCTTATAAACAAGTTTATGTCTCACACTTCTGGAGGCTGGAAGTCCAAGATGAAGGTGCCAGCATGGCCATGTGCTGGTGAGAGAACCCTTCCTGGTTTATAGCCAGCACCTTCTCACTGTGTCTTCACATGGTGGAAGGGGCTGGGGAGCTCTCTGAAGCCCCTTTTATAAAGCCTTTTATAAATCCCATTCATGAGGGCTCCACCTCCATGACTTAAGCACCTCCCAAAGGCCCCACCTTCTAATACCATCACCTTTGGGGTTTAGGATTTCAACATAAGAATTTTGGGGGGACACAACTAAACCCATAACAGCATACATTAAGATCATAAGCATCTGCACTCCCATAAAAGCATTCAATATGGACATTATAAAGCTGTTTTAAAGAGAGCTTTCATTTATTTGCTATACTGGAGACATTTTTACTTACGTACTTATCAACTTTCAAAAATTCAACGTCTAATCTGGGCATCAGTGGCCCACTCAAGTTGACACGTAAAATTAACTATCACACCACGTGAAGACACACAGTGAAGAAGGCCATGTGATAGTGGAAGCAGAGACTGGAGTGATCCAGCTACGAGTCCAGGAACACCAAGGGTTGCCGGGAGCCACCAGAAGCTGGCAAGAGGGAAGGAAGGCTTCTTTCCGAGAGCCTTCAGAGAGCACGGCCCGGAGGAGGCCTTCGTTTCAGACTTCTGGCCTCCCGAACTGAGAGGGGACAAATTTCTGTCGTTTTAAGCCACCCAGTTTGTGGTACTTTGTTAGCGCAGCCCTAGAAAACTACTGGAGAGGGTAAGCAGTTTGTCATTGCTAACAGCATCACCCTGAGTTAGTGGCAGAGCCTGAATCAGGGCAAGGTTCCCTGATGTCACTCAAATTCTAAGACCCTGTCCCAAGAATGATCTTGTCTACTATCTTTTGGGCTGGACCCACAGCCACTATAGAGCGAAGGACAGAATCTCACAATGTTAGCTTTTAGTCCATGCTTCTACTTTAAATTACTCACCTGCTTATATCATAAAGGAGCCTTATTTTCCATGAGGTCTTCAGTTTAATCCTTTTTCCTATTTAAGTCTATAAATTTCACAAAGAACAATGTTTGGGATATGGCATCAAATATTTAATGTAGATGTGCTAATGTGCTAGTTAAACGAGTTCCTACATATGATTTCTAATCTTCACAATTGTAGGGCATAGATTTTGCTATCCTCATTTCACATATGAGGAAACTGAGGCACGGATAGACTAAGTAATCCTCCAAGATGATTAGCTTCTAAGGTCATGAACCCAGATGTCTTTCCACACATCATCTGTTGCTGAGTAAAAAGTTCACATAAAGTTATACTACTGGTAGACCTTGTGTTTGCTGGCATTTGCAGAGCTTGGGCTGTGTTCCCAGAAAGTGCTTAATGAACAGGCAGTAATACCCACTGTGGGTTGTCTTCCACCAACAGGGCAGATGGCAATATACAATGAGAAAACAAGCAGCAATACAATGATTGATTGCTACTTCATTTTTTCCTTGCAAGCAGATTTCTGGATTTCAACCTGCCCTGCCCTTGGAAGCCTAGAATCAGGTTGTAAACACAACCAGCTCCTAAACACTCGTCTACAAATCGCTAGTTCTGAACTTTCTTCCTGGCCCACCTGTACAAAACCTACAGTACCCAGCCCATGACCCCACTGACCACTGGGATTCCAGTGTCTGCGTTTGCAAGGTCACCTGCAGTCGCACATCTGTTAAATGATGCTACTGGTCGAGAGAATGCTGGGTCTGACGCTATCACTGAAACTTTATTGAGTGTCAGATACTAAAGATACAAAAATGAGACATAATTACTCCCTTCAAGGAGCTCACAATAGAAAAGGAGTAATTACAATATAACCAAAGTACAACAGAGGGGTGAATACATTGCTGTTTAAAACCTCTGTCAGAAGGCTGGGTGCTGGAGGTTAGTCATCAAAATCCATTTTTCTAAGTCTGTGGGGGACTATCTCATAGGGAACTAATGACTTAATTTATGAAATGCGTATGTTTATACTTTTTTGAAGTAAATATTTAACATCAGTCTCAAGGAATTGAAGTATCTTTGTTAACAGAAGAAAAATACATTCTTTTATCCAGCAGAATCATGAGTGTATATAGTTGTATACATTGTATATATTACACACGTGTGTGTGTGTGTGTGTGTGTGTGTGTATCTATATATATGTATACCTTGTATATATACATTGTGTATACAATGAGTCTATATAGTATAAGGATTCACACACAGCACCCTTAGGAGCCTAAATCACACCACAGCCTCACTGCATGATGGCAGTGGTCTCTGCAGAAGGCACCCAACTACCTCTGTCCCTAACTGCTAAGTAAGGGACTGGCTGAGCAAGAGCCAAGAGTGGGCAATAGGAAAAATCTGCATGGGGAAGAAAGTACTAAGGGAATGAGAGCTTGGTAATATACATCATCAAGATCCCTTCCCAGAATTCACATCCTAGTGTGGCCCAGGTAACCCTCCTTCCTACACATAACACTACCACCGGTGAGAATTCATCACAGGCCAGCTTTCCTTCACTATTTTGCTCACGTCTAGGCTACCTCCCCCATCTTCTGCTGGCATCTGTTTGGGAAATGCAAAGTAGTGAAATTTTAATACTAGCTCAAGGGAAACATAATTAAGGAAATACAGCTCCACAAATTTAGAAATCAAAATGCATTTTTGTTATTCCTTTGAGTATGTGCTACCTGTATAACCCTGCTTCTCCACCAGTATGAAGAACCAAGTGGGTACTTAACTACACATAGTTATTAAGTTGTCACAATTCAACTTAAAATACAGCATATGGAAACAGAATTAAAATTACATGTTGGGCATGCCTAGCAAAAACATTTCTGAAAAAAAAAATTCACCAACAGCTCGCCCTTTGAGGATTTCCTGGCAGTGTAACACTTTGTATGTAATAAAGTAATTCCATTGCTAATTCTGTGAGTGTGTTTTTTTATTTTACAAAATCTGTTCCCAGAAAAATGTTAGGAATTTTTCTATTAACATTTTGTAGACTCTCAAGTTCTATACATTACTTTTGTAAACCACTTTTGGGCTTTCCCACAAAGGCTCACAAAGAAGCACTTCAAGTCGGCATGTGGTAATGCTGTGGTTCCGTTTCAGAAGCTTTGCTATCTTTGTACACCATGCTGGCTTTGCATTACATCTTTAATTAAAGATGTAAAATTATTTTCATCTTTTACTGCACTGTGACTACACTTTATTAAAAAAGAATGGAAAACAGAAAAAGGAAAGTTAATAGTGGCAGTTAATATTAAGCTGTTAACAGGGAAGAGTAGATATTTTATAAATTCATATAATTAACAGAAGATGGAAATCAATGCACACGCTAGAAGTTTGAAACTTTTAACATCAATTGGACAATAACTGGACTGAAGCTGGTTGACCATAATATTGAGATGTGATGGAAAAAAAATAAAGTAAAGAATACCTGTGATGAATTAAGAATATGTCATTTAAGATTAGCTATCTTATAATTGTTTTAAATCTCTAGGAATGGAGCAAACACTGTTCAACTCAGACCCCTGAGCAAGACAGCGTTATCTGTGAAAGAAAAGGATGGCCTGTCCTCCTCATCCAGGTCAAACATACTGTCTCTGAGAACCCTCTCTCCACCTTCAGACGACATCCATATTCCCTGCCGGCCCCTTTGCCTTTTAGCATTCTATTTACCCACAATAATTATCTGTTGGCATCTTGGTCACTACACTGTGAGCCCCTCAGTGACAGACACTATCTCATTCCCTATCAAATGACCAACAGATGTTTGATCAAGTACGTTTCATGCGAGAGAAAATACATGCTCCAAGGGCATGATTTTTTCTAACCTTGCCACTTTCTCCACAGAAAAGGGGAAGTTCTTCTTCCATATGGACTCAGTCCTGTGCAGTCCCTGAGGAAAAAGTATGTGGTAAAATCAGGATCCCATATGTTGAATGAAAGTAGGCAGGTTAAAATTACTTTATGTCCAATTAACAGAGAAAATAAGCCAAGCTCAAATATGGTGAATGGAAGATAAGGGGATTAAGTTTTAGGCATGGGAGTTAACAGCTATAAAACCCAAAAGGTGTTTTAACTGTTCAGGAACTACTACGTGGCCTCTTATGGGAATCCTCTTGCTGAGGTCTGGAAAAGTAATCCCAGGATAAACGCAGATTCTAAAATCTATAAGGAAACAAGTAGAAATTTTTCATTTCAGAGTTGACTTCCTATAGATAAGGAAAAATAAATTTTAGACCTTATCAAATTTCCCCTGGGATTGGAAAGTTCCAAATCACTGTGAAGAGCAGACTTATCAATTCTCAGCTCCAGTGAAGAGTATATTATTTGCTAAGCTGGAAAAAAAAAAAAGGAAGAATGAATGAAAAGGACGAAAGGATGAATGAATGAATGAATGTGGCTTTGTTATCCTAGACTTTAACAAAACATCTGAAACAACAGTCATCAAGTACGTAGCAAGAGCACTGAACGTTCTTACTTTAATTAACCACCTCCACAAAGACTACTTTCTACCACATAGAAGTAACAGCAGAAGCAGCCCTGTCAGAAGATACGCAAGATGCCTGGACTGTGGTTCAATCGTTACACAGCTAACTATTCACCACTAAAAATAAATATCAATAAGTACTCTCTCTCCCCTAAAAAGCAATTTCATGAAATTATATTTAATAATGTTGATTTTTCTGATTTATTAGGTTGGGTTCTATTTACTCAAATATAATCCATATTTCAAGTACTAACATCAGAACATTTTATCTGATATTAAAACTCCAAGCAGGTAGAGCCTTATAATAGACAGATAAAAAACCATAATCAAAAAGAGGTCAAGTCTTAACAGTGTTCCTTATCACTGTTTTATATGCCCTTGAGGATACTGGTAAAGTTTTGTTTTTCTCAGCTATAAAAAGGTCTCTCAGAATATAAGCAATAATAATTCATCAAACTATGGCAATTAAGACAAATCATTATTTCTAATGTTTGGAAAAGGTAAGCTTGTTTTTAAAAGGATCACTTGGAATTTTCTCATGTACAAATTTATAAAGCTTGATCGGGTTGCCAATATGGAAAGATCATTTCATGTGACAGTTTTTCCTACAGTATGTCTTCTCTACTAATTTGCGAGCTCTTTAAAAGAGGGGACCATGACTCATTCGTTGCTATAACCACCACAGCCCATGGCTCAGAACAGAACACAATATACTCACTGAAAGTATCCTTTGAACATAGCTCTTTGTATATTGGAAACTGCCTATATTGGGTATTCTTCTCTTTTTGCCTCATCCTAATTGGAAATACCTTTTCCATATCTGCCCCAAGTTTACTGGAATAAAAAATAAAAAGAGAGAGGGAAAAGAAGAAAAAGGAAGAGAAGAGAAAGAAGAACAGAGGAAGGGAATTCAAAGGCCAAAAACAGGGCCGGCCTGGCAGTGCAGTGGTTAAGTTTGCACGTCCTGCTTCAGCAGCCTGGGAATTGCTGGTTCCGATCCTGGTGTGGACCTACACACCACTTACCAAGCCATGCTGTGGCAGGAGTCCCACATATAAAGTAGAGGAAGATGGGCATGGATGTTAGCTCAGGGCCAGTCTTCCTCAGCAAAAAAGAGGAGGATCAGTGGCAGATGTTAGCTTAGGGCTGATCTTCCTCAAAAAGAAAAAAGGGAAATAAACAAGAGAAGGAAAAGGGGCCAAAGCAGAGATGTGACTGCACCTCACCGTAGTTTAGGCCACCCTTGTTCTTAGCAGAAGGGAAATCTTGCTAATATGCTAAAATCATTGAACAGTAATCCTGGGTTTGTTTGGGGTTTTTTTCCCCACCTTATCCCTCTACCATTGTAGGTAACCAATTTCACTAGTTTCTGTTTCTTTTTGCAAAACTAAGCAAATAGATGTATGTGTTTTTAATTCCCAATTCCTTGTGATACAAAAAATAGCACACTTTATATACCCTTTTGCAATTTGCTTTTATTTCACTTAACAGTATGTCCTGGAAATCACTCCATATCAGTTAATAGAGATTTTTTTAACAGCTGCATATCCTGGGTTTTTAAGGAGGAAAATAAATAGTTCTTTTCAGTGTTTTCAGTCAATTTCAAGTACAGTAACTCTTCAAAAATTAGAATGGTGAAAAACAGACCTGTTTATTTGAACTAATTGGGTTAAGACATAATTGCATATATGGCATATGAAAATTACCATAATCAAAGAAATAACATTAAGATTCAATTAACACTAAATATAAGATTAACATAGTTTCATTTTTGTTGTTCAGAATGTCCTTGAAGATTAAAAAAGACTCAAGATTAATTACTATTATACAGTACTATGAAAAAAATGTTGACTTCTCTAGCATTGTGGAAAATGGTTGGCTTTTTGGTTTTTTTTTTAACATTATTCCCATGTGATATAAACATAACAGACAAAACCAGCTTCCCCAATTGGCACTACGTGAGGAATATAGTTGGTGGAATATATGGGAGGATTATACTTCTCTTATCCTGTTATCTACATGATCTCACCTGGCTATTATTAATATCACTGTTACAGTAGTATATCAATATATACTTCTTAAAAATCCACAATATACATACAGAATACCACATCATGATGTGATAAACATGAATTCTAAATAACAGCAACAATAATAGTTAAAACAAATAGTTACCCTGCACCAGGCACTCAGTGCCTTACATCATCTCACTTAATCTTTATAATAAACAGCCAAAAGAAACAGGTATAATCAGTGCCTCCTTTTTATGGACACATTTCAATAACTTGACCAACAGTCACCAAGGTCAGAGCCAGCATCTGAACCCAGGACTAATTCCAAAGCCCTTTGTTCCTGGACCCCCACCCACCAACCCCGTAGTACAGGGGTATTTTAAGTTTTCCTGTGTACATTCCAAACAGTTTTATTTTGTACTGATTGGTTGGGAACAATCCCCCAAAAAATGTTTGTACCTGATTGTTTTAACTTTTTGTAGCCCAGTATTCAGTCATCTTGAATCCTCTTCCTTCGAGATCCTGGTAAAGTTGTCTTCTACACCAAGGTTAATGTGACTGAAAATATAAATACACAAATTCTATTAGAGAAAAAACAGAGAAGGAGTATATACCATCTTGCAACTCTAACAAGTCATTATTTATCTGAGAAAAATGCAGTTTAAAAATTTTATCAGCTCTATTTATTATTAAAACATCAGCAGAAGTGCTCAATTATAAAATATATTAATATTGTAAAATCTAACTTTCAGATATTATACTTTATAAGTTTTGGGAAAGGGCCTCAACAATTTGGACGCTGAAACATATGAAAAAATACTAAAGAAAGTTTAATCTACAGTATCTCAACATAAAAAATACAAGGGAAACTATCTGGAATGTGAACAAAGCAAAATTTCAAACTTTTGGAAGAAAGTATAGAAAATACTTTTATGACCTCAGGGCAAGGAAAGATTTCTTAAATAAGACACAAGATAAAGCACAAAGAAAAGACTGGTAAATTTTACTACATTAAAGCTTAAAACTTTGGCATAATAAAAGACAAAATGAACAAAGGGAAACATGGCACAGAATGGGAGAAGATATTTTCAACACCTATAACTAGCTGGCAAAGGATCATTATCCAGAATACATAAAGAATACGTAAAAATCAGCAAGAAAAAGACAAACAATAAAATTTAGAAATGGGCAAGGGGTACAGGCAATTGACAGAAGAAGGAATTGATAATCATATTAAAAGGTGCTCAAATTCACCATGGAATTTATCATGGAAATGCAATCACAATGAGATAAATCTTATCCATCAGATCTGCGAAATTAAAGGGGGGCAATACTTAGTGTTGGTGAGGATGCAGATCGAAAGGCACACTCCTATTGCTAGAAGGAATGTAAACTGGTACAATCGCTTTAGAGAGCAACCCAACAACCTCTAGGCCACAGCAGTGTCTTTCAATCTTTTTTGATATACATATGTACTTGAACCAAAAGTTTCACAAAATAATTTTTACCCTTACTACATGAGATGCTTAGGGGTATCTCCTTTTCTATTTTTGCTATTTACTCCATTCTAGTCTATCCTATCCTATACTATTTATCCTTTTCTATTTCATTTTAAGAAGAAAATGCTGGTCTCAGCCCACTAAAATAACTTTAAGATTGCTAACAAGTCACACCTTGTAGCACAGAAAACACTGGCTTCGATGAACCCTACAGCATATAAACAATTGTTTGCAATAGCAAGAATCTAGAAAGAGCAGACAGAATTGATCAACAGGCTACATCAACAATATTTATAAACTGCGGCATGTGCATACCATACAGCAAATAAAATAAATTATCTAGAATCAACCTAGATAAATCTCCAAAACAATTTTGACCAAAAATCACTAAGTCACAGAATGATACATATGGTACACTATTTGATAAAGTTTTAAAACATGCAGAAAACAATACTGTTTTAACGTGTTAGGATACTAACATACACATGGCTGAACTTTGATGGGAATTTTTTCACAGGAAAGTTTTGATGGAGGTAACGCCAAAGATAAAATTTGCCATGTAATTCTATCAATGAATTGGTATGATTTGGTTTTTTCATCTAACAAGACAGTTGTCAAGATTTTAAGCTTAAATTAATCATCTGAATATGGAAGGTGTGGGGGATTAGAACTGGCCACCCCAAAATGTGTCACTTTGGCATGAGGATTATTTTGGGCTGGTTACTTTTAAAAACTGCAGACATGACAGAAACTCTGGAAAGTAGAATTTACTTACCCTTTATAAGAGACATTTACATTTGTAAGGGAAATCTCCATCTGTAAAGGTGTCTCCCTCTCTATACCAGGAAGAAGGGAAGATGATCTTATCTCTAAAAACTCTTATCAATGCAGAAAGCAAGGACTTAAATCTACATAATAACCTTACTCTTGTTTACTGTGCTTTTCTGGTAACCTCCCATAAGTGACTCCTCCCACCCCCAACATCCTCCTTTGCCTTTAGCTAAGGAGGGTATTTAAGATGAGAACCTGTGCCATTTTGGTGAGTTACTCAGTTTTCCTGAGTCTCTCCCATGTATACACGTTATAAAGCTTTGTTTAATTTTCTCCTGTTATTCTGTCTCATGTCAATTTAATTCATAGCCCAACCAGAAGGACCTAGAGTGGGCAGAGGAAATGTCTTCCTCCCCTACAAAGGTAAGGCTACTCAATGTTAAGGAAAACAAAATTTTAGAATCAGAATACCACCTTCTAATATTGCCTTTACCATGGATACAGGAATTCAATAAAGGTTTGATAATGACAACTCATGAACCGATACTGGCTCAACACAAGGTTGACATAAGGGAAGCCATATTGTAGAAAGAAAACCATATTGTAACTTTGAATGACCTCTGATTAACTAACCCAGACAGGCTCTGTAGATTTTATGGCCCCTCCCAGCTGCTGTAAGTTGATAACTTTGTCCTTTTTTGAGTTCCTTAGGAATGTGATTACCCTCAGGCAGACAGTCTATGCTGACAGCAATTATCAATGACAACTGAAAGATCAGGGTATTGGCCGTTGCTCCCGTCTCCGATGCACAGCCAGTAAAACAAAAGACTAACACCAACTAAGATCAGATGTCTGCCAAAGACCAGAAACCTCCTCCACCTGGAGACCAGCCCCCTATATAACTGGCCTGTAGTCTTTGTTCTGTAAGATGGATTTTTTGGACATTAGTTGGCCATCTTCCCCCTTGCTAGCAATCTGTAATAAAAATCCTTTCTCTCCTACCACCTTGCCTCTTGATTATTGATTGGCATGTCCTGCGGCAGGCAGACAACCCCTCCTTGCGCAGTAACAGAACTACAGTTTCTTTTGCCATCAGTAAAATAAAATTCTATCAATAACATAGGAAAATAATAAATAACACAGACAAAGAAGCAAAATACATAAAAGAAAAAAAAGAATGTGGAGCAAATGACACCCAGTTTGTAGGTGTTGTATCAACATCACCCCAACCCAATGGTATTTGTGGGCCTTATGAACTTATAAGCTAGAACACTGTATTTATAAGAGCAAAGCCTTTTCCACAGATATCAATATTTTACAATTAATCAGGAGCTTCTAAATGCTGATAACTGTTCTCTAGAAGTGATCCCAGAAGAAAAAGTGAAAAAAATAGGAATTTCTGCAGAGAAAGTCCAATGCTATGGGCTATTTTTTTTTTTATTCAACTTAATAACATGAGGTCAACTCTAAAGCTATGCTTGAGAAACATAATATATAAAAAAGTTTTCTTACAATATAGAATTCAATGCTTTTAGCAAATTCTCCCATCTGGGCAACACAGTTGACGATGCTTTTGTAATCAAAGAAACTGAACATTAAAGAAAACCAATGTCTTTAGGACACCAGCACACAGTTTACAGCATCAGTGTGTTAAATGAACTCCAAACCAAGTAAAAGTCAATGGGGTAACGATGGTTCCCAACTATATGCTTAGCTGAGTCATTAAATGGTATGTCATCTGTAGTTAAGTTAGAAATAATATAAATATGTATAAATATAATAAAAAATAAACACAATCCCAATTGTCACTTGCAAAAAAGGATGATAGCTATAAGTTAGCTCCACTTGAATGAGATGTCATAAGTCAATGACAACAGTAAGATACCTACTCAGCCACTAACTAATGTGGGACAGTTATAAACAGGATGGACAAAACTAAAAACTAAGAGCACAACTGAAACTAAAGTACAACTTCAAAGGAAATGGTATTGCCATATATTTATGACAAACAGCAAACTGACTTGTAGAACACAGAAACATCACTGCTATTTTCATTATTTCTTTGTAAAAAGTTTTCCAAATTTCACAAGTGATTAAGCTGCTCTTCAGTCCAAAGCAAAGCTGCGTTTAGTTTGAAGAGATTACTGAGCTCACCAATGCTGGTCTTTTCAGCTGCATACAGCAAAAGTGTCACTTGCAAATATAAAAAATAATCAATACAACTTACAAACATTTTTAGATTGTTATACTAGCTAAAATGAATTGATACTTCAGACACGTGTAAATTCATTTGAAATTTAGGTCCTTATAGACCTAATACGATGAAAAAAATTCTAACATGCCTATTAAAGAGAGTCCTAATTGTTAAAGACCTTTGCCCCACAATGTAAATATTCCTTCAGCATGGTAGGCCCTCTTGGCTTTGGCTCATTTCCATTTGGGATTCATTTTGTTCAGTATCAAATACACTCAGCATAATACAGGACATATTATAATGTGGTCACTATTTATGAATTACTCACATACTATCATCCTCTGGCACTTGTCAGCTCGCAACGTCTTCCATGGAGAGAGATACATAATAGATATTAGCTCAAGTTAGTTTAGCAAGGCTGAGGACACATAAAAGACATACACTCCAATGTCAGATTAATGCTGGAAAAAATTGTCTTAAATTTCCTGGAGAATTTCACATTGTGAAGATGGGATCCCCATGTGAACTAGACACATGTTCCTTCTGGATAATGAAGGAGAGAAGGATCATATCAGCCTTCCTCTGAAGGACACTATGACCATCTATTTTAGGGAGGCAAGCTATCTGTTCCCTTGAAGTAAATAGCCCCATGCAGCCCCCTACTTTCAGGCTTGAACAAGAGTCCTTGATGTCACTCTGTGACCCTGATAATTCCATTCCTGCTCTCAAATGTCTCTAGACAGGTCAATTTTGATTTATAGTAATTCAACTCAAAAGTGGCAGTATCTTAAGGGTCTTTTAATCTCACTTCAGCCAAGTGATGATGATACTGGCCCTCATAGCAGTTCCCCTACATTAAACCCAGCATATATGGGGTTACAATCAAAGCACTCATCCCCTTTGCCTGCTTACTCCTTGGCTTCAGGCACCAGAATCCACTATCCACCATAGAGGCAGACAACCAAGGACATCCACCTGCGGATTCCCTTATCTCACCATCCTCCTACCTGCAAAGAGTCTCACAAGGCCAAACACAGGCTGGTGGGAAAACGCCAACAAACAAGGTCACGGTGCCGCACACCCACCCCCAACAGCCACTTTCCTTACAACCTTTAAAACCCCTTGCCTTCCATCTTTCGGGGGGATGAGACAAATTTGAGGGCTCTCTCTCATCTCCTGGCTGACATTACCCAACATAAAACCCTTTCCTTGCCATATTCCTGGCGTTTCAGTTTTTATTTGGCCCCTCTTGTGTGGCAGGTAAAGAACTTGTGATTGTATGTGGTAACAATAAAAACCAAATTACATATAACAAACTCCTAAAGGCATAAGCAAATCTCCTGAGTACCCTACATTTATAGGTCTAGATAAATAGTTTGTGATATTTAAACATAGTGTATGTAATCAACTTAAGTAAAGGACCCAAAGGGAAACAGACTTTACTTTCTAAAATAATTTCTCTCCATCTGCCTCTTTCTCTAACCATCCTTTCCTTATGGACTGAAATTTGGTTAGGCTTGTCTGGTTCATTCAGAAATCTCTAAGAGCAATAATTTAATACCTTAAAGCATGACATCATACCAGATGAATCTTCAACACAGTTGCAAATACAGACAAGCAATGACCACTCTTAGAAACAACTTCACTAGTCATCCATAGTCAGAGGGACATTAAGAAGCAATTACAAAGTGCAGTAAAATGTGAAGAAAGTATATAATTTTTCTCAACACATCTGTAGTATTCGTTTGTCTAATCTCTTCCTTTCAGGGGCCCAGTCTCTTCATTTGATGCACTGAGTTAAACTGTAAAATCCTGAACAACTTGAATTCAATTTGTAAAAAAACTTTTTCACCTATATACTACAAAACATGGTCATGCTATGGACCCCTGTGAAAAATACAGTAGAGAAGGGTAAGGAACATTTTCTCCAAGAAACACACTGAACTCTCAAAACCAGTTCTCCATCTTGAATATCACCTTTGGTTTATCCTTCAGACCCACCATAACCATGCTGTTTAAAACTGTACTCCACACCTGCACAACCTGTCCCCTTTGTCTGCTCTCCTTTTTTATTTTTTCATTGCACTTATAATTTTCAATCATAAATAAATGTTAATAAATATGTTTATTGTTAATCATTCTTTGCTACAGTGTAAGCTTCAGAGAGAAGGGATCTTTGTCTACTTTGTTCACTAACACATCCTAACCATCTAGACAGGCCCTGACACAAAGTAGTCACTCAATAAATGTTTGTTGAATGAATGAATGAATCCACTTGAAAGTTCAGTACAAAATATCTCTGGGAGTCAGTCAGATCTCAGTTTCATTCACACAGTTAACAAATACCTACTGAGCTCTGATTATGGGGGAGACAGATCTACACATACAAATACATAATATCAGATAGTGATAAGTGCTACAAAGCCAAATACAGCAGGGTAAGAGGGTGAGCAGTGGCTATTTCAGATGAGGTAGTCACCTCTCTGAAGTGACAGCAACTGTTTTCAGACTTGAATGAAGCTGGGTGCCAAGCAGATTTGGATGGAAGGGGAAAGCGAGCTTTGAACGTGGAGGAAACAGCAAATGCATAGGCCCCAGGGCGGAGGCCAGCTTGGTAAACCAAGCGACAGCGATGAGGCCCTGGGTGGTGGGAGTGGGGTGTGCAAGAATGTATCATTCCAATTGCCTTTACTTAGTAACATGTATATACTGCCTAGGGCCGTGAGAAATAAAGATTACGTTTCACCTAGGTACTCAGATTCTCTGATAGTAAGTGCTGCTTCTACTCCAGCCCCCGGATGTCTGTACCAGCACATCATATAAAATTACAAGGCACACAGTAATGACATTGTTAAAAACCGTTCCAAGTAGCCCCAGGAGTCACGAAACTGACTTAAGTACCACTGGCCAGGAAGGTGTAAAGCCAAGCAAGAACTCAGTACTAGAAGAGTGCAAAGCCAGGAGGCTCAATAAACATTAAACAGTGACTGTCACTACCAAGTCTGGGGGAAAGATCGTCATTCCCAAGCACCGTTTGTGAACTCTACCACTTTTATTCAGCTCTGACAAGGATTAAGGCAGCTCTAAGACATGCATTTTGTTAACAGTGCTGGACTCGAACCGTTCCGACATCTTATGCAATTTCCCAAAGAACAAAAGCAAAAATGTTCACTCTGAACTCGCCTTCCAACTCAAGCAGGAAGTTCTTTCTCGGCTAAGGTGGAGCACTTGGAAAGTTTCCAGCGTCTGGAAATCTCTATTTCCGGGGCTGAGCAGAGCAGTATCTTCTGGCTTAAAATAAAGATTTATGGCGATTTCTCCCCATCCCTCCACAGCAGTTCCCAAGCAGCTTCGCCTAGCTTAGTCAAACTTTCTGAGCTATCCCTCGACCTCAGGACCAAACGTCGAAGACACAACAACGAGTTAGCGAGCCGGTTCGGGTCCCGGGACCTAGAGGAATAAGTGACTAGCTTTAAGGGACAGCAACCGAGGGTCGTGGCGACAAAAATGAAATCATCACATCCCAAGCGGGGCGGAGGGAAGGCGAAATTCCGGGGCAGGTGCCTCCCCAGGATCCGGGAAGACTCCAAGCCTCGGTGGCCCAAGGTGGGGAAGCCTCCAGGCAGACGACACGCCTGGGGCGACGCCAAACGCGACCTTGTCCGAGTCGCGCCTCCTTTGCCAGCGTACCTGCGCATGCGCACCGCCGCTTCGACCCGCGGGCCGAGTAGGGCTACAATCCCTGAGCCGCGCGCCCACCCCGGCCAGGGGCTTTGCGCACGCGCAGAGACGCCTCGGTCCTGGGCCTGGTGCGGGGTGCAGCAACAGAGCCGCACGCTTAGGCCCAGCCAGCAGCTGTGCGCACGCGCGGAGACGCCTCAGCCCTGGGCCTGGGCCGGGGTGCAGCAACAGAGTCGCAAGTCTAGGCCCCGCCACCGGGTTTGCGCACGCGCGGGGACGCCTGGGCCCTCGGCTCGGGCGGGGCTGTAGCCCCAGGGGCTGCTCCTCTGCGGTCGCCCAGACCCGGAGCTTGGGTAGCGGGGGCTGGGGGAGGAGGAACTGAGAGCTGCCCGCTCCGAGCCCGGCGGCCCCTCTTCACTTCCTCCGGCATCCCCTTGCCCATTACCTCAGCGCAGGACCGAGCCGCGTCCGCTCCGCCTCCTGGGATGCCGTTACTGTTCGGTCGGGGGCCCGGCGCAGCTACTAGTTGGCACCTCCCCCTGAAGCGGCCTGGCCCTGGCTGCGCTCGGGTGCCCGGCCGGGAGGGAGAGGAGGGGAGCGCACCCGAGGGGAGGGGGCCGGCGACGGCGCCTCGCCACTCCTCTCCCCTCCCGCGGCCGCGGCCGCCCCCGCCCGGCTGCCTCCCCCTCCTCTCGGAGCGGACCCGTGGGACTGGACAGCGCCTCCCACGCTGGGTCCATCTCCGCCCTTTTCCTGGAAATGCCAGTGGGAAACACCTCCACCTTCTGCAGGGTTCTGGTCTGCGAAGTCTTGGGAATTTGCAGCTGCCTGATCCGGAAGGATAAGGCCTGCATGCGATGCTGTGGGCAACCTTTTCTACGGTCCCTCTCCCACAGCCGGTCCCAGCTTTTCCAGTGGGGGATCCCTCCCTCAGGGATCTCACATCGCTTCTTCGCACGGTCTCCCCCTGTTTCACCTCACTGCTGTGGGGCTGAGTCCTGAACGCTTCTAATGTAAATGCTGAAATAATGATTGATGTGTGCTGAGGGGGTGACCTGAGGTACCTCGAGACCAAGGTCTTCTGGAACAACCACTCTAGTAATTTGCAGTAATGTCTTGTCTTAAGCTGCACTTCTGGCGGCCTTCCATAGATTTTAGTAAAATGCACCATAGCCTTACAATGTGCAATATTTTCTTCCACTTTACTAGCTTGCATTGACCTGAGTGGGTTTTGGTAAAATGCCCCACAACTAATGTTATTAGTTGTTCCTATGACGTAAGCTGATTGCATTTATACTGACTTTTAAATCAGGACACAGGTTCAACGTTTAAATGATTTGCCCAAAGTATCAGCCAGATAGAATAACTGAGATTTCAACCCAGAGTGACCATGTCAGTCTTTTGTTTGGTCTGGCTTTTGACATTTTGTTGGAAAAGCATCTTTCCAGAATATCTAGCTGCCTTCATTGCAGCTGGTATAGTTGACAGACATTTATGTCTGTGAAAATTAATAAATGGAAGCCTCATTTAAAATGGAGTCAGAAGCCAGAAGAGAGAACTCTCATGCATGTGCCACTCAACACACACTACTGAAGAAGAGACTGGTACCTTCCATCGCCTACAGGAAGTGACCCTACTTAACCCCAGCAGAAGGAAGGAAGAAATGCCTCCTTGTCCAGTAAGAGCTCAGCCAGTGAGAGACCGCCATAACTCACCAATGAAAAGCCACCACACTTCCAACTCCCAGTCTCCTCCAATGATCTCTTCATTTGCAACAACCCCTCCCAACTTCATTAAAGAACAGTTTCCCTCCTTTGTTTCTCCAGACTGTTTGTGGATTGCCTTAGAGGAGCATGTCTTTTTTTTTTTCTTTTGAGGAAGATTAGCCCTTAGCCAACATCTGCTGCCAATCCTCCTCTTTTTTGCTGAGGAAGACTGGCCCTGAGCTAACATCCATGCCCATCTTCCTCCACTTTATATGTGGCACACCTGCTACAGCATGGCTTGACAAGCGGTGCCATGTCCACACCCAGGATCCAAACCGGTGAACCCTGGGCCACCGAATCGAAACGTGTGCGCTTAACTGCTGCACCACTTGGCCAATCCCTAGACAGCATGTCTTGAATTGCAATTGTTTACTGTACCAGTATAAACCGATTCTGCTGGTGTCATTACTGGCTGTTTATTTGTTTTAGGTCAACATTATTTGGTGGCCCATATAGGGATCCAGAGAAGACCCCAACAACTCCAAGGCTGGAGGGCAAACAGGTGCAGTGCCCACAGAGCCCATGCAGCTCACTGCTTTCTCGCTGGCCCCAGAGTTTGAGGATTAAATTTTCTTCTGGATGTCAAACACCTTTCTCTTTGCATTTTGAAGCTCTCCGGGCTTTATTGAGGACCTGTCCTCTCTGTTAAAGGCTTTTGCCCTTTCTATGAGTACTTGTTTGGCCCTTGGTCTGATTCCTTTTAGAACTGAGCTGCTCTACTGGAACTGTGCTGTTCAGCCTTTGGCCTGACTTCCTCAGAATCAGGCTGTTCTACTGGAACTGTGCTGGTATTTGGCCTGTAGGCCGTTTAGGAATTTCTTTTTCTCTAGAGAAAAACCTTGAAGTGAGGTTTCCGTCATCTAAATGTTTTAAGGGGAACCCCCCACACTTCAGAGATCCCAGCCAGTATTTTTGTTTAAAAACTGCAGTCCCTCCCCATGTGCATTTCTAACTAAGTGGGCCAACTTAACCAAAACTAGTTTAGAACACCAAGGACCACTATGGGGAACTTTTGAACTCCACAAACTTAATTTTCTTAACACCAAATTTGACAGTCATAGCTCTGAAATTGCCAAAAGTGAATGGAATGCCTATTTCAATTGGTATTTTGAGGCTTCTAAATGTTACCAGGAGTCCAAAATTTCCTCTCTGCAAAATAAAATTTTAAGATTAGTGGAGGCAAACAAACAATTAAAGAAAGGTAAAATGCCTTCCAAAGCTTATCTTTCCCCTTCCCCATCTCCTTTGTCTCCAGAGGCTCTGAGCAGCCAGCTTGTGCTCAGGCCCCACCTCTGTGCCATCCTCCTCCTTCCCTTCTATACTGCCTACACCTCCTCTGTACCCTCAGTTTCCCCATTCCGATTCGTTCACCAAACTTCCCTTTTTCCCTAAGCCTCTCCCTGCTCCATCATCTGAACCTATAAGAACCTGCCCCTTTAATGCTAAGTGTTTTGAGCATCCAAACAAGCTTTAAATCTCTTGTTTCCTGGACTAAGGCTGAATTACAAGCCACAGTTAAAGAGTTTCCTAACATAACTGCAGAGCCCCATAGGTTTGCAGAAGAATTTAATGTAGTTATTCAAATTTACGAACCTGGTTTTTCAGACCTATGTCAGTTAGTCCACATGCTGGTTGATGAGGGTCAAGCCAAGCATTGGATGAAACTTGAGCCTTGGGAAAATCCTAAAAGGGATTTCAAAAGACAAACCCCTAACTTTTGGCAAGAGGCTAAAACACTCACTGTGAAACTTGGCTGAGCAATTACAGTAGCCTTTCCTAAGCCTATTGATTGGAGCAAAATTCAGGATTGCACACAAAAACCTGATGAACCTGTTCATAGCTATTATAATCAACTTCAGATTGTTTTCAAAGCAAATTCTGATCTTCCTTCAGCTGTTATGTCCACTTGGGTAGCTTTTGACTCTGTTTATTAACGGGCTGAACCATTTTAGTTAAAAGGACCAGGATGGAATGGGAAACTATATCTGTTCCAGCTTTGTTAATTTGGCAAATCAGCTTGCTCCCACCCTGGATGAGTCACCTAAAAGAAAGACAGCTGAAATTCTTAATCCTCGACTCTAGCCAATGAAGGTCCCCACACAAAACCAAAAACCTAGTTTCTGCTATTATTGCAAAGAGCCAGGACATTGGACAAGAGATTGCTACAAACTTGAGCACTTCAGGTGCTTCAGCCTTCAGCCTTCTAACCAGCCTTTCCAGTGTCCTCCTAATTCCCGAGAATGGGGCTCCAAGGAACCACAGGAGCTCTTCCCAACCCTCCCTCTTAATTGGCTCGGACAACAACTCTCCGGACTGGGAAGAAATCTCTCTTTGTCTTTATTAACCCTGGAGCCGTGGTCTTGGTGCTCAACCCCACTAGTACAAAGCAGCCCCCGCCTCAGGGCTAACGCAGTTCAAATAGTGGGGGTCTCTAATAAACCTCAACAGGTTTCTGTCTCTGATCCTAGTCTCTTTAGTTTAGGCCTTTTGAGAGATCCCCACCCTTTTCTCCTTAGCTCCTCTGCCCCTATTCATTTATTAGGTGGAGACTTCTTAGAAAAATATCATGCTGGTATCTGTTTCTCCCAAAATGCGGAAATAATTCTAGAATTTGGCAGTAACAATCAAAATAGCCAACCAAGTGAATGAAGTGACCCCTTGACATCTTTTATTTGCTCTGTCTCATATGTACTAAAGCTGATTCTGGAGACACTGGTCATTTGTCCCTCCTGAATCAGCTACCACTCTGCTTGTGGGCAGAACCTCCAACTGATACTGGCAAAACTCACAGTGCACCTCCCATCAAGACTGAACAGATCTGGGGCGGCCTGGTGGCACAGCGGTTAAGTGCGCACATTCTGCTTTGGCGGCCCAGGGTTTGCCGGTTCGGATCCCGGGTGCGGACATGGCACTGTTTATCAAGCCATGCTGTGGCAGGCGTCCCACATATAAAGTAGAGGAAGATGGGCACGGATTTTAGCTCAGGGCCAGTCTTCCTCAGCAAAAAAAGAGGAGGATTGGCAGCTGTTAGCTCAGGGCTAATCTTCCTCAAAAAAAAAAAAAAATCAAACAGATCCCTCTAAACCTCTCCCCAGAATTAATCAACACCATATAAGTAAAGAAGGCCTTCAAGGTATAAAGCTCGTAATAGAAGATTACAAGGCTCAGGGCCTCATTACCCCTTGTACTAATCCCTGTAATACTCCTATTTCACCTGTGAGAAAACCGAGGGCTGAGGGTAGAGCTTTGTCCAGGAACTCTGAGCAATAAACAACATAGTTATTCCTCAACACCCTGTTGTTCCTAACCCTCAAACACTACCAACATCTGTCCCAACTGAAAACAAGTTCTTTATGCATTTATGCAGTGTGTTCTTTAGTATTCCAGGTGATGAAGTTAGCCAATACCTTTTTGCCTTCACTTGGGAAGGAAAGCAATTCACCTGGACAGTAATGCCTCAGGGTTTTACTGGGTCCTTCTCATTTCTCACAAACCCTCAGTGCTGATCTGGATGATGTAAAGTTCCCTGGGGGCTCTACTTTATTACAATGTGTGGATGACCTGCTTCTTTCCTCTCCCTCTCAAGCCTCCTCCCAGGATGACAGCATCCACTTGCTAAAG